TGCATTGTACACAAAAGAATATCAAACGAAGATTCTAGTGGTGTGTATCCACATCTCATTGTCACTAGAAATGATGATCGCATGATTGAGGACTTCAAAACAGCTATGAAGAATGAATTTGAGATGTCTGATCTAGGATTTCTGAATTACTTTCTAGGAATGGAGATTATTCAACAACAAGAAGGAATCACTATTTCTCAAGAATGTTATGCAAAGAAGCTTTTGTAAAAGTTCAATATGAAGGAGTGCAAGAGTATGAGAACACCATTGACGCCTCAAATCAAGAGTCTAGATGAAGAAGAAGAGTTTGCTGACCCAAAAATCTACAGAAGTCTAGTGGGAGGTCTGTTGTATCTAACTGCTACTCAACCAGACCTAATGTTCTCAACTTCATACTTGTCAAGGTATCTGAAAGAACCTAGGATCAAACACTTCAAGGAAGCTAAGAGAGTACTCAGGTATATTCAAGGAATGCTTGATATAGGATTAAAGTTCACTTTAGTTCAAGAACCAAGACTCATTGGATATTCAGACAGCGATTGGGGAGGATGCAAAGAAGGTCTAAAGTCAACAACTGGATACTGTTTCTGCATAGGATCTGCAATCTTTTCATGGCAAACTAGCAAACAAGATACAGTTCCCAATCCACCGCAGAGGCAGAGTATATGGTGCTGTGTGCAACATCAAATCAGGCTATATGGTTAAGGAGATTACTGGCGGATCTAAAGTTCAATACTCAAGAGGGAGTTCTTATATTCTGTGACAGTCAGTCAGCTATTGCCATTGGAAAGAATCCCGTGCAACATAGAAGGACCACACATATTCAAATCAAGTACCATGTGGTCAGAGACTATGATAGAAACGAAGAGATTCAGCTAAAGTACTGCAGCGGTGAAGATCAATTGGCTGATATATTCACCAAGCCTTTGGGAGGAGAGAACTATGAAAGACTTCGTAGCAAGCTCGGTTTGAGTGACAAAATGGCAAGTGGGAGTGTTGAGTAATGACATTTTGTAATCAAACCGAATTAAAGGGATCTAGTCAATGTCTAGTTAGTCTCTATCTATAAAAGAGTTGTAAGAGTGTTGTAGGAGAGTTGTTGAAACAGTGGAGTAACTGGTGTAAGAGTTAATCATTACCTACAACGAAAAAGAGGAGAGTGGGAGCCGGTAGTGGCAGGTGAAAACAGAGAGAAAGAAGTTGTGTTGTATAAGTTCTGTAAGTGTGTTGTATGTTTCGATTATGAAAAAAATGAAGGAGTTTTCCAGTTTTCTGTCTTTTACAAATCAAACACTAAACAAATATGCAAAGATTGAAGAACAAAACTCTGTTTTCTTAAGATAGTTCAACATGAAGATCTCTTTTAATCAAATTAAACTCAGAAAAAAAAACTCAGAAATTAGGATTTTAATTCTGGGATCTGGATTTTGATTTACGATTCTCGGATGGAGGAAGAGAACCGTTCCATGCTAGTGGAGGAGTACGAGGAATTGGATGGGGGAAATGCCTAATTTAATTGAAAATCTACAGTCTCCGGTGGGTTTAGGATTTTTGGGTTGGATAATCTCCCAAAACCCGAGATAGGGTCAGGTTACCCGAATATGGTGACCATTAATTGGTTTAAATTAGGTTTATTAGTTTTTTTTTTGTATTAGCTTGGTTAACAATTAATTGGTATACAATAAACCGAATAAAATCTTGGTTTGTGGAGAAATTGATTTTGAACTTTAATTTCGGAGGAAATAGATTTAAAACTTCTATCCGGTGAGGAAATAAAATTAAAACTTTGATAAATTGGGGAATTAGAACGAAGATCAAACTTCAGGAAGATATATAATTATATGAAAGTTATGAGGAGGAAATAGATCGTTTTCCTTGTTGCTTATGCTTTGTTATGGATGAAACGAGGAATCACTTGCTTCTGGGTTGCTCTTTCAGTATGGACATTTGGTCTGTGGTCTTGCCAAGGATCGGCCTCACGCCTTTCTTCTTCCAATCCTGGACGGCTCTCCTTGCCTGGGTTAAACAACAATCTGCCTCAGCTCCTTCCCTTCTTCTGAAAATGGTAGCACATACTGTCTTGTATTTCATTTGCACTGAACAAAACAGCAGAGTCTTCAGAGCTGAAACAAAGTTTGTAACGCAGTTGCTCAGGGACATTGACCGACACAATCCGAAACACAATCTCTGTGAGAGACATAAGAGACATTATGGAAGTCTTATGACTCTTTGGCTTGAATGAGTGTAGACTTCTGATCCACACATAACCTTTGTTAACATGTTTTTTATTCTTTTTTGCCATGTTAACAAACTTTGAGCTATGCTCTTTGTAAAGCTACTTTTCATTTATATGATATTTACAATTGTGCACAAAAAAAAACTGATAGATAGCAGAGAGATATTTGATTGCTTCCTAACAACCGTCTCTCTCGACAGATCTGCTATAAATGTAAGAACTGTTGTACGGGTGATTTTTAAACAAAAAAAAAGGATACACAAAAATTCTTATGATTTTCTTGCGGCTTTCCTCCTTAGTCAAGAAATATCGAATATAGCTACGAACGGGTAAGTGTATAATTATGTAGCAAATTAAATTGTGTTGTTACCAAAAACTTTCTATGGACGTTTAACAAAACATTTAAGTTGTACCTATGATGCTTGTTGCAAATACCTGTGGCAATCCTACACAAAATCATTGACTAATCTGCGGCTTTTAAATAAATAAAATAAAACATAAAACTCTAAAAATTAAAAATTAAAAATTAAAAATATAATATATATAAATATATACACACATTAATGGCGTAAAACATAACAAGCATACAAATTAATTTTTCCAACAGCCTAATTTCTATGGTATATTTAAGAAAACATGTAAGTTGTAAAAATTAAGATAAATCCAACCTAGTAAATTGATGTTTTCTTCCTTTTTTTTCCAGAGATCTCAAAATGTTTACATCTCTGAAGAAGAAACTCTTCAAACTTCATATCTGAAGCACCCTAATCTTGCAAATTAAACTTAATTATTTTATTTAATTATTTTTAATAAAGATTTTAATTATATTTTTAATAAAGATTTTAATTGTTCCCATAAACAATTTCGTGAGAACCGCCACAAGAAACTACTCATCGATCTTTCCTGAAAAAGAAGAGAGGAGTGAATATTTTGGGAATACTCAGTGAGAATGTGCTCTTGGAACACACAAAATTCTTTGACATATTATTTGAAACAGCAATAATGAGTAAACATAATATAGGTATCAAAATCAAGCAACAATCAACCTAGAATAACTAACATTATTATATAATATATATGATTCTAATATTTCTATTTAAATACAATCATTCAATCATTCAAAACAATCAACCTAACGAGTCTACTTCACATTCCCAAGGATCACAACCGCATGGTACTCAATCTATGCCATAGCCCATAAATGGGTTTGACGATTAATGTCTCCGCCCAATTACAGTACTCCAACATTTAAGCCCGATGCCACAGCCCTCTACAGGGTTTGACAATGGCTCGTCAGCCCTTTTTCGACCACTACAGCTTCACAACCCTCTACTATTCTAACTAACGACTAAATAACTTATAATCATATTATCATATTCGAATACTTCTCATTATGAATTATTCAATAACCAATCAATAACCAATATCAATCACCATTACTAAATACCAATTATCAATCATGTTTAATTCCTATACTAAGAATACACACATTACTAAATCAACTAATATATCTTAGAAATCCACAAACTTGTCCTCACCTTTGCCATTTGATGATGAATAGCAAATCCATTTCGCCTTTTGACAAATTTGATACATGATAGGAAAATGATCATAACTTTATGGTCACAGCTCCGAATGGATATCAAAAGATTGATCTGGAAAGCTAGATTGAAGATCTTCACGCTGGTATGTAGATCTTCTTCTGAAACTTCCTATATTGCCGGTAAAATGCTTCACAAGTCGGTTATTCGCGCATCAGATCTGCATAGATATGGCTCGAGAAAACACCTATAACTTCAAACCATAACTCCAAATAATAAACGGCTTTCGGCTATAGCTAGATCTAAAGGTTAGGAACATTATCACCATATATTAGGTTTGACTGTCTGTTTCTCTTCTAAGCCATAACTGGTCTTATCTGTCTTCTAGAGGCTGCAGTGGCTTTTCCTTCGAGGTGTTTTGATGGTGGCTGATCGAAAATGATTTTGATAGGGCTTCGCTGCAGAAACTCAATCCCTTCTCCTCAGTCACGAGCTCACACTTTTTATAGAGCAAGTGATGAGGTTAATTGGGTTTAGGGTTTACTAAAAAATTATCTTTTGTCCTTAATAATCATTTTAAGTTTCTCTCATTGCGTTTTTCTTTTCCTCACCAAAACAACGAAAATTGAGTCTTAAACCTCCAAGATCTATTTTAGAATGAGCCTCAATACTTTCTCTTCTTATGGTTTTTCTTCTTCGACAAATTAGATTTAGAGATTCTTCGATGACAAATTTTAAGATTAAAATTTTAGGGGTTTGATAAAAAAAAAATAAACCCTCAACCTAATTCTTAGGATGTCTATCGACTGCCTACTTGGTGAATCACCTTACATGTGGCCAGAATTCAGTTTCCCCTTATAAATATATATATACCCTCGAATACCAAGTGGTTTCTAAAATCTTGCATCTCTCGACAGCTTTTCATAGCGTGTTATTTGCGGTGCCAAGAGTTTTTGTGCTTAGGAGTTCTAGATGTTAATCATAATGATACAATTATAATCAAGTTTTAATTTGTTTTTTGAAAAAGTATTAATTTATTAATTAGTTTAAATCTTTATAAAGTATTAAATTTTCAAATTCCGGACATTGCATCTAGTCAATGCGTAGAACTCGAGATGAGATCTAAAGTTATGTCTGCCATTATACGTAAAAGAAAACTCACAAATTCACATTCCACTCAGTCTCAGATGAGAAAAAGAAAAAAGAAAAATAAGAAACGAAATATGTTTTACTCTTTGGAAGGGAAAGCTCTTGAGAATTTCCTTGGTGCGATGAAACTAGACTTTCACAAACATCTTGTGTATCCTACAAATATTTCTTCTGAATGCAGTGTTTGCTCCAACTCTGAACAAATAGAAGGTGCCAAAGCCAGCGAAAGCGGTGAAAATGGCGTAACATGCAAAAGCAATGAAAGTCAAAAAGGCGGTAAAAGCGGCAAAGGCGGTGAAAGCATTGAAAGCGGTGAAAATAGCGAAACCGGCCAAAGAAGAGGAAGCGGCAAAAGCGCCAAAGCCAGTGAAAGCCTTGAAAGCATCGCAGGCGCCGAAAGCAGTAAAAATGGCGAAAGCGGTGAAAATGGCAAAAGCGGCAAAGGCGGTGAAAGCACTGAAAGCATCGCAGGCGGCGAAAGCAATGATAGCAGCGAAAGCATCGCAGGCGGTGAAAGCGGCAAAGGCGGTGAAAGCCGCTACATCTGCAAGCCTTGTAATCTCTACGCCCACAAAGATTGCGTTGAGATCAACAACCCTTATCATCACAAGCATCCTCTCAAACTCCTTGAGTTTGATATTGTACTCGACTTTGGGAAAACATGTCGCTTGTGTGGAGAGAAGGTGGAACGTCTATTTTATCATTGCTTCTTATGTGATATAACTTTATGCAGGCTTTGTCCTAGTATACCGTTGGTTATTGACGATGTCCCGAAGAAGGTTCACGAGCACTCACTCACACAAGTCATGATAAAGGTATCCTTCACTTGCGATGCTTGTGGGATTTGTAGCGACGGATTCCCTTGTGTATGTCTTCCGTGTTGTTTTATAATCCACAGAGATTGTACCAAGTTGCCCCGTGTTATACACGTTAACCGTCATGACCATCGTGTTTCTCACACTTATTCTCTTTGCATTGGAGATTGGGGATGCGGGGTTTGTCGCAAAGGCATTGATAGGGTCTATGGGGCTTACTCCTGCTCGATTTGTCGCTATGCTGTTCATTCAAAATGTGCAACAAGAACTGATGTGTGGGATGGGGTCGAACTAGAAGATATCCCTGAAGATGAAAATGAAGATATTGATCCGTATGAAGTGATTAGTGAAGGGGTGATAAGACATTTTCTTCATGAGCATGACTTAAGATTGATAATTGAGAAGGATGGAAACGTATCCTACTGCTATGCGTGCACCCTCCCCATCTATTGTGATCCGTGCTACGCTTGTATGGAGTGTCGTTTCGTCCTGCATGAAGCATGTGCAAAGCTTCGTAAAAAGTTAAGACATGAGCTTCAGAGTCATCAACTCATTTTGTGTCTCAATCCCAGACCAGGTCAAGCCTTTAAAGACGGCTATTTTTCTTGTGACGCTTGTCACCGAAGATGCACTGGTTTCTGTTACAAATATAAGCGTATAGAATTAGATATTCGCTGTGCGCAAGTGTCTAAGACATTTAACCATGGAAGCCATCCACATCCGCTGTTCAGCATTTCAACTGCGTTCAAGAAGTGTACGGGTTGTGGCCGATCCGACAAACCAGTAATGAGTTGCATTGAATGTGTTTTCGATTTGTGCTTCTATTGCGCTACTCTGCCAGTAGAGGCAAGACACAAATACGATTGTCATCCTCTTTCTTTGTGCTATGGTGAAAATGCAAAGGGATTGTACTGGTGTGAGATTTGTGAGAGAGAATTAAATCCAAAAGAGTGGTTCTACACCTGCAATGACTATGGCTCAACTCTTCATGTCAACTGCGTACTTGGAGATTACTTACATGTCAGACCAGGGCATAGTTTCAAATACAATGACAATGAAGTTGAAGTGGTTGCGAACGACCATCCCACTCGACCCTCCTGCAGCTTACACTCTAGGGAATGGCGTTGTGTTCATCCATTTGTTTTCAAGCGTAAGGTCAACAACACAATATCTAGCATGTGTGATTATTATTTTCGGTTTTGCTAAAACTTAGGAAGGACTTGCCGATATGTTGCTGTCTCTTTCGTCGAGTCTGCTTTTGATATCTTGTAGTAAAATTGAGTCGTAAACAATAAAAACTTGCCATCTTTTAATTTTTTAGAAACCCACTTGCTTTTGCTTTTGATCCCAAAAGGGTCCACGAAAAATCCTCTCTTTTCAATTTCAGACATGAACACTGATGAACGTAATCCAAAGACACGCAAATACTCGATTTACTCTGTTTACCTTGAGACAAGACGTGAATTTGGCAGAATAGAATCGATTGGCGAAAAACACCCATCTTCGATCTTTCAACTGTGATTGGAGTCACTGAATTGAATGCCAGAAAAGGATCGTTCATCGTTGTGTTCGTCCTCGATTCTCCGAACATCTCCAAACTTCATTTTTGAAGGAAAAAATGAATAAACCATTAGAGTAAACTTTTCTTCATTTTTTTCTTCAAAAAGAATATTCCAAGCATATTCCATCTTTATTTTATTATTAATTGCTAATAAAGTTCTCTACTTTTCAGTTTTACAAACTTTCACCTATTTATTTTATTTAGAACAATTGTTAACCAAATTATGATTTTATATAATTTAAAATTTTATTATATAAAGAAAATTACATTACATAATGTAAATAAGAACAAACCATACATAAAAACAAACCATACGTAAGAGGAAAAAAATACATAATTTAAATAAAAACAAACCATAGCATAATCTTATCATGTATTAGAGGACAAATATTTTTCCCATAAATGATCAATTAATGCATTTCGAAGAGAGAAATGAGTTTCTTTATCCTTGATTTTTCTATATCGAGCCAAAAATTCTTGGAACCGGATACTTTCATTCGCTTCTATTTCAACCTCCGGAGGTGGGACTTCTCTTCTTACTTCAATTGGTGCATTGAGATCACGCTCATCTTCAATTATCATATTATATAGAATTATACAAGTAGTCATTATGTCATGTATCACATTCTTATCCCAAAAACGAGCTGGCCCTTTCACAATTGCAAAACGTGATTGAAGAACTCCAAATGCCCGTTCCACATCTTTCCTGCAAGCTTCTTGTTGTGTAGCAAAATATTTTTTTTTGGAACTCACTGGCTCATGAATAGTTTGCACAATAGTCGACCATTTTGGATATATACCATCAGCCAAATAATAGCCCATATCATATTCTTTTCCTTGAATGATATAACGAGCAGGAGGAGCAATACCTTGAGAAAGATTGGAGAAAAGATGGGAAGACTCCAATACATTGATATCATTATTTGTGCCAGGCATTCCGAAAAATGCATGCCATATCCAAAGATCATAATCCGCTACAGCTTCAAGAATTATACTTGGTGATCCACTACGACCAGCATATTTTCTAGCCCAGCCGGTTGGACAATTTTTCCACTTCCAGTGCATGCAATCCAAACTACCTAGCATTCCTGGAAAACCTCGTTTTTCACCAATGTAAAGAAGCCTAGAAACATCATCAGGTGTTGGTGAATGCAGGTATTGAGCTGAGGATATTTCCACTACGGCTCGACAAAATCTCTTCATACTTTCAATTGTCGTTGATTCGCCTATCTTAATGTACTCGTCTGTGGCATCTGCTGGTACACCGTATGCTAGCATGCGAAACACGGCTGTTTCTTTTTGTAGGGAGGATAATCCAAGTCTACCGGTTGAATCTTTTCGTTGTTTGAAGTACTTGTCATGACTTTCAACAGCATTGACGATACGAAGAAACAAGGGGCGAGACATTTGATATCTCCTGCGAAACATAGCATCATTGTAATGTGGACTGTCTGAGAAGTAGTCGTTAAATAATCTACAATGTGCGCTTTCTCGATCACGGTGTATGAAAGAGCGTCCAGGAACTGAACCACCATGGATCACTTGGTTGTTTTGTTGGCTAAGAAGGTATTGAATGATTGCATTGTTATTAGCAATAGCAAGATGTATCGCTTGTTCTTCTTCATCAAGACTATTGATCATTTCCAAATTGTCATCATCTGAAGAGGATGATGATGAATCAAGAAAATGTAGTAAATTTGGAAAATTAGGATTCATTTCAAGAGATAAAATTTAAAGTGAAAAAAGTAATAAGTATTTGTTGGAGATTGTGATGAAACAGATGGAGTTTTAATGCTATTTATAGAACTTGGAATCAAGTTGCTATCGTATTATCAAATTCTTTATTTTACCAATTTTGTATTGTCATATCATGTTATGATAAATTGAGAACATGTGAATCTTTGAATCACTTTAGTATTGTATTATCAAATAATGCCATGATAGGTAGAGAAACGTGAGAATCTTGAATTACTCTGCTATTGTATTATCATTTTATGTCATAACAAATTCAGAAAAACAAAATTTTTTTTGACTCACTTTATATTTGTATGGTCAATAGAGAAACGTGAACATCTTGAATTACTTTCCTATGGAATTGTCATTTCCTGTCATAATAAATTCAGAAAAAAAAAGATTCTTTGACTCACTTTATATTTGTATTATCAATTTATGTTATAATAAGTCAAGAAACGTGAGAATCTTTGAATCATTTTACAATTGTATTGTCAAATCATTATAAAAAATTAAGAAATCTGGAAATTTTAATTAACATCTATAAATAAACATCATGGGTTTTTCTTTTCATTCACAACATTCCACCATCTATTTTCATATTCATCTTTATCTTTTCTCATTTTATTTACAAAAATGCCTTTACGTTCTTCTGGATATACGACTCAAGAAGAAGATAAATATTTATGTCAAATTTATATGGAAATTTCTCAAGATCCAATCAAAGGTGTTTATCAGTCATCTGATCAGTTTTGGTCTCGTGTGGTAGAAGGCTATGAGAATGGAAAAATGCATTTTGGAGTGAACGTTCAAGAAAATCCATCCAATGTAGAATTCAAGCTTTTGAGAAAGCAACAAAGAAATTGCATGCATGCATCAAACAATGTGAAAATAGACGTCCAAGTGGTGCTTCAAATGATGACATTGTAAGTAATTTTTTGTGATAATTAATATATGATTTTTTTATTATTTACATTAGCTTTAATATTTTTGTTTTATCATTTGTAGTTCAATCAAGCCAAAATAATGCTAAAGGAAGATCCAAAATACAAAGGAGGCTGGAAATTTGATCATGTATGGAGCATTATTAAAAAATTTGAGAAGTTTAAAGATGGTGAAATCCCAGCTAGAAATGTGCCAAATCCATCTGGTTTCGGATACGCGTCGTCGGAGTCGGAAAATCCTACCCCAGACTTTGGTACACAAACATCTTCAGGTTTGCCTTCATTTTCTTTGAATTTAGATGATGAAGAAGACATTATTGGTGGATCTGCATCTAAACGACCGATTGGGGTGAAAAAAGCTAAGCTGAAAAGAAAAAGTGATGATCAAACATCACTTGTTATCAACACCTTGGAAGAAGGAAATAGACAACTTGTGGAGCAACTAAAGAAGACAAGTTCTCAAAGGCAACACCATTTAGATATTCAAAGTAAGAATTATGCTTTGAAAGAACTTAAAGAAGAAAACAAAATTCTGTTGCAAGACTTAAATTCTATAGAAGATTTGAATATCCGTTCATATGTTCAAGCTGAACAAGCACGGATTTTACAAAAAAGAGTTGAACAACAACAAAATCAACAAGCTCCTCCTTCAGCATCAACTTCATTTGGACAATATTTTATGGATCTGGAAGTAGTTTCCCAGATTATTAAGTTGTTGGTTTATGTTATGTTAAGTTTTATTATTTATAATTTAGTATTAATAATGTATTTTTAATTTTGTTGTTGGTTATGTTATTGTATTTCTTAATTAATAAGTGTTATTGTATTTTTATTGTGTTTATTGCAATTTTACTTTATAATTTGATTAGTTAAATTTATTGTTTTAAAATTAATTGGGTTAAAAAAACATATAAGTTGTGTTTGGGTATAAATCAAAACATATAAAAAGTTAAGGATATATTTTATAAATAAAAAAGTTTATATTCAAAAAATGAAGAAATAAACAGTGTTCTTTCATATTTGAAGGAACACTGTTCATTTCTTCATTTTGAAGGTGAAATTGAAGCACCATTGGAGAAAATTTCTTCATTTCTGTCTTTAAAATGAAGGAGAAAATAAAATTTGAAGGACCATTTGGATGGTCTCCTAAAGTTTCCTTCTGGGGGAAAGAGAGAAGGAAAGAGATTGAGATAGATTTCCATTTTTGTTAGTTAAATTGTTCAAAGAAAATCCAACGGCTAAGATTCACCCATTATATAAATTTAAAACGCGAGATCAACGGTCCTTCATTCTAACACAACAAATCTAAGATCAAGTGCTACGCGGAGCACAATAAGTATTTGTCTCTTGTCTTCTCTTCCCTTTGGGTTTTAGGGCTTGCTCACTGCGCATCACGGCTTTTAGGCGGCTGCCGCTTCTTTCGTTCTTTTTTCTTCTTCCTTCTTCGCCTCGAAGCTTTTTAGGGTTTCGATTCTTCCGGCATGGACCCTTATGGAACGGAATCAGTTGTCGATGAAGAAAACCACGAAGTGAAACCATCCGAAGACGTTGAGGACGATGACGACAAATCTCAGCCTCATTCTGGTGGCGGCGTCGATAGTGCTGGGTAAGTTTTCTCTTTCTTCTTCCGAGAAGATTCTAGATTTAGGAATTAGGGTTTTGGGAACTTTCAAATTGAGATATAGAAGTATCGATTTTGCTAGGGTTTCGTCTAATTAGAAATCTTGAGTCCAGATTTTCAGTAATTCGTGATCAGTTATGGCCTGCTAGAGTCTCTGTTATAGAAATCTGAGATAGAAAAGTAGAAAAGATACGAACTTTTTATCGCTACTCTTACTGAATTTGAGGAATTAGCGCTAAGTTTCTTCGTTTCCCCTAGAGAAATCTGGAGTGGAGAAGGATAAGTTTAGTCCTCTTCTCCAAATTTCTATTACTTAGTGATAATTAGTTACTTATACAATGTTTTCTGGAATTTGTAGAAAGATATTTGTTGGAGGTTTAGCCAGGGAGACAACTTCAGGTTAGCTCTTGTGTCTGGTTGCCACATTGTACAGAGGTTAGCGCTCTCGTTATTGTGTGAAAGTTCAATACTTTATAACTCATTTTTTTTTTTTTGGTTTATGCAGCCGAATTCGTCAAGCATTTTGGCAAGTATGGAGAGATCACAGATTCTGTGATTATGAAGGATAGGAAAACCGGACAGCCCCGAGGATTTGGGTTTGTGACATATGCTGATTCCTCGGTGGTCGACAAAGTTATCCAGGACAATCACATCCTCAACGGGAAGCAGGTTAGATTGATCTCTGTGCCTTAATAGTTTCAAGTGCTTTATAAGTTGTCTTTAAGTGCGATAAAGTTCACTTCTTTTTTGGGTTTTCAGGTTGAAATTAAGCGGACGATACCTAGAGGATCAATGAACTCCAACGACTTCAAAACCAAGAAGATATTTGTTGGTGGAATTCCTTCGTCTGTTGATGATGGTTAGAACACTAGTCCAATTTTTCTTATTGCTATATCATCTGATTTTCTGATGTTTATCTATGAAGTTACTCATCTGCTGGTTTGTGTTTGTGTAGATGAGTTCAAGGAATTCTTTATGCAATTTGGAGAGCTGAAGGAACACCAGATCATGCGTGATCACTCAACTGGAAGATCACGTGGCTTTGGGTTTGTTACATATGAAAGTGAAGATATGGTTGATCTTCTCTTGGCAAAAGGCAACAGAATTGAGCTCTCAGGGACTCAGGTAACTGGACGATCTTACAAAATATTGTTCAGATTCTATGGATTTGTAGCTAATCGAGACACTCACATCGTCCCCTTTACTTTGCTGAATTGTCCTATATAGGTAGAAATAAAGAAGGCAGAACCGAAAAAACCAAACTCGGTTACAACCCCGTCGAAGCGGTTCGGTGACTCACGCTCTAACTTTGGTGGAGGTTATGGAGATGGTTATGGTGGAGGACACGGTGGTGGATACGGTGGACCAGGTGGTCCTTACAAATCAGGTGGTGGTGGCGGCTATGGAGGTGGCCGGTCTGGTGGTTATGGAGGCTACGGAGGAGAATTTGGCGGTTATGGCGGAGGTGGATACGGTGGTGGTGTTGGACCTTATAGAGGAGAGCCACCACTTGGATATTCAGGTCGTTATGGAGGAGGAGGTGGTGGTGGTTACAACAGAGGCGGTTACGGTATGGGAGGTGGCGGTGGATATGGTGGTGGACCGGGTGATATGTATGGTGGGCCATACGGTGAACCTGGAGGTGGTTATGGTGGACCAAGTGGGAGTTACGGAGGCGGGTATGGTGGTGGCGCTATTGGTGGGTATGGTGGTGGCATGGGTGGTGCTGGTGGCGGAGGCTATAGAGGTGGTGGCTATGACATGGGTGGTCTTGGAGGCGGAGGAGGAGGAGGTTACGGTGGTGGTGGAAGTGGAGGAGGCTCGTTTTATGGTGGAGGTGGAGGAGGAGGAAGTAGAGGCGGTTATGGAGGTTCTGGACGGTACCATCCTTATGGAAGGTAGAAAGTTCCATAAAGCTTGAATCTTCTTCTTCTTCCGTCATGTATGGTTATCAAGATTGATAGCTAGTTTATTGTATTCTGAGAGAGGAGGCTTTTAGGGCTTGATTCCCTGAGTAGTTTAATACATTTTTAGATAACTGCCAGATTATTCTTTTGCTTAGAACTCTTTGTGTCAAGTGGCAACTAGATTTAGCTTGTATCATTGCTTTTAAGTTTTGACTCAAATCTTATCAGACTCAAATCTTTGTTGTACCTTTAGCCATTTTTTTTCTTACTGGAGAACCTTCTGTGTATGTCCAAAGGTTTGATTGTCTTGTTCTTCTTCTCTCTTAAGCGAGAACCACAAATAGACCAAACAAATATCTTGTGGTCAATCATCTGTTTCAGTTGTCTGGATACTACAATTTTTCGTGTACCATTTAACAATTCTGACAATTTTTTCCAAGTTTTTTTGGGGAAATTTTCACTAAGCCGAGTTCTTTCTTCACCATTTTGGTCCTCTCTCCCATTTTCTTTTCTCTGTTTCATATAAAAATTCTGGGAAAATCTGTTAACACCATTTTCATTTCTGGTTCTGGGTTTGATCATTCGATTTCTGAAATGGCGACACTTGCATCAAATCTCGTCTGTATCGGAAAAGTAACGATTTTTTTAGCAAATTTCATGCAAATCCTTTTTTCTATCTCTGTGAAGTTTTTTCCCCCTCAAAGATGGTAAAAGCTTTCTTTTGATGGATTTCGCAGGTAAAGGGGTTGCAGATAAATTGCAAGAAGAAAGAGAGAGGAAGAGATCAAAGCAATTATCCATACAAAGTAATTGAAATAACTCCTCCACCTAAATCTCTTGGCGTTCGTTGCCTTCCTCATGTGAGTCTCAAAATCTTCATCTTCTTCTTCCCCTGAAAAAAAAGACTGATTTGATGAAAAAGCAAGCTAATTGATTGATTTGCAGAATCTGCAGTGCGGAGAGAACGTGATGATAGAAGGGCAAACGTACACAATCTCGGCAGTGACTCATCGGTATCAGCTCCGGAAAGGTAAGTACGAGCCGAGTGAGAGGCGGCTCGATGTTCTCTCCGCCGCTAGATACGTCTTAAACCTTTATTTCGACAATTTGCTCCAAAATTCTTAAAACCTCTTCTTTTTTTAATTATTTTCTTACCCACCAAAACATTGTAACCTGTACGATGATGGATCATTGTCATAGTCATGGACCCATGTAGATGGTAAAATCTTGTATAAATATTGTTGTTAAGCTCGGATTGATTTGTCTTGGGTTTATAGGAATCGACATATTTTGTGATCTGTATGAACAAGCATCACTACGAGTTAAGGTCTCGAGTGAGAGAATCCTACGTCTCAGACTCTCAGCTTGACAATATGCAAGCAATTTCACCAGATCTTAGAGTTACAAGAATCCTCAAGAGCTCTCGAGTGAGAATCCTATGTCTCAGCTTGATATTGCAAGCAATTCATTAGATCTTGGAGTTAAAAGAATCCTCGAGAGCTTTGATCAAAGACTATGACTCAATCTCTCCGTCTAGCTAACTCTGTTTTTTAACCAACTACCAAGCTCTCTACCTTCTTTACACTCCTCCTGATTAAACCGATCCATTTTGAACCAACTGTACCGTGACCAAGTAAAGTAAACCGATTTCCAATTGATGCAATGCTCGATCAGCTTAACCAACCCGGTTCAGCTTAAGATCAGATGTTGTTTGTCACATTATGGAAGTATTATCAAACTTATAGTATTAGACTAAGGAGGGTTATTGGGAGTTGGATTTATGAAGATTTTAGTTGATTTTAAATATAACGAAATTTGTCAAATTTTTAAGAGTTTTGTTGGATTTGTAAAATTTAGAAAGAGTTTTATAGATTTAAACAATCTATTAATTTTTTTTTTAATATAACAGATTTTAAGAATCCAATGATATAGGTAGTATTTTGAGAATCATAATTCATGAATTAAATTGTAAAGAATCAGTATGCCAATAACACTAGATTATAACAGAATCATAGAATAAAATCATTAAAATGTAAACTTTTTGAATAACAATAGATTTTGATTAGATTATAAAAATCATCATATCAATAACATCTGATCTTTATAATTTTTAAATGAATAACAGTGGAATCTATTAAGAATGTAAAAATTCACAAACCAATAACTATAGAATCTTAAACTCTAAAAATCTTTATAAATCAACTCTTCAATAACACCCCTAAGTGATGTATACAACTAATAATTTAGGTCTGTCCACGATTCAAATTTTCGAAAATCCGAACAAATCCAAATATTCCCTAGTATGTTTTAGAGGAAAAAAAGACTGTATCAATTTACATGCTATTTTCAGTTTACTAATTACAATGCAAAATTAATTATATTTTTTTTTACCATTTTATCATTGGTTAAATTGTGTATAGGTAGATAATAAATGATGTTTACTTCATAAAATATAAAATTAAAGTGTGATACAAAGGGACTATCTAATAAGCTTGTATTTTCTGTTTGTATGGTGAAGACAACTAATAAATAAATTAATAGCATAGAACATTGATGAAACCTCACCAAAATTTAATTGAATCAAAATAAAAGGTCAATTGACGAGTTCATCATAAACCATACAGTTAAGCAATGTATATACCTAAGAATCTATACCAAATGCGTAAATTTTTATTCTTCAAATGTCTTAATAATTACGATTTATTTTATATTATCACCAGAGGGGAAAATAGTAGGCAATTAGCTAGCAAAAAATGATATAATACGTGTGTTTGCATCTAATTAACAGAATACAGTTGACCAACGTGGCTTAGTTTAACTAAACCTACTGCCCGTCACTGAATAACAATACGCCGGACGAGTCAATTTGTAGGAATCCGTCTGTTGGTTAGAGTTTACGTCACCGCCCTGTCATATCACAAAATGTGGGACCCATATTCGTGTGTGCGCCTCAAGACGTGTATGGAGGATCGGAAAATGCAGGAGAATTTATATTTGAATTGAATAAATAAATCGAAGTTGCACTGCGTTCTCCATTTTCGAAATCAGCTTCTTCAACCTCTCTCTCTCGCGTTTGCTTCTACGAAACCCTAATGGCGAATGTTGAGAATCTGAGCGCTGTTCCGGCGTCGGAAGACACGGAGTTTGGGTTTAAGCGGCCGGAGATGTACAGTACCGATATCGCTAATTCCATCACTTCGTACGGTCGCCATGTTTTCGTTCTCTACAAGACTCCTGAAGCTTGGATCTCACACGTCGAGGAGGAAGGTTTACCTCAGCGTTTCGCTACGTTGCTCAAGGATCGCAAATCTGAGCTCCTTGTTCAGGTTTAGATTCGGTTCTCGTTAACATTTCACCAATTTTTGTTACGGTTTCTCTTTCGTTTGATTAAAACCTGCAGGCTGAATTTGTTGGCGTTTGTATTTGTTGTAGACGAAGCTTAATGTATGCGAAGGTGGTGGATCCGATGGAGATGTGTTGATTTTCCCGGATATGGTCAGATACAAGTGAGTCCGTCTACGTTTCGATTCTTATAATGTATTGAATCTCAACGAAATTGTTTTCGGGAAAAACAGTTGACTAGAACATGATTGACTCGTATTCAGATTTTCTGGAGATTGGAGATTGCATTAGCTAATTTTAGAAACTGCCGAGATTCAATTACAGATGTTGATATACTGAATCTCAACGAGATTGTTTTGAGGAAAAACAGTTGACTAGATTGTGATTGACTCGATTTAGATCTCTGGAGAGTGGAGATTGCATAAGCTAATTTTAGAAACTGCAGAGATTCGATTACAAATCTTTAATGTATTGAATCTCAGGGAGACTGTTTTGGGAAAAACAGTTGACTAGATCATGATTGACTCGTATTTAGATCTCTGGAGAGTTGAGATTGCATAAGCTAATTTTAGATTTCGATTTAAGTCTCCATGTAATGAGCTTCTTAAGCCTGAGATTCAGATCTGAAACTGCATAAGTTTTGATTCTAAACGCTGATTCTCGTGATGCTTTTAATGGTCAAAAAGGGGGGTTAAGGATACGGAAGTGGAAGGTTTCTTTGAAGATGTTCTTGTGAATGGGAAACCATGGAGATCTGGGAGACAGGAGAAGCTATCTGGAACATTTGTATTCGTGTGTACTCATACTAGTCGAGACAAGAGATGTGGCGTTTGTGGACCAGTCATCTTAGAGAGGTTCAAGCAGGAGGTTGGCTCTCGTGGACTTTCAGACCAAATCTCTCTCAGGAGATGCTCTCACGTTGGACAGCACAAGTATGCTGGTAATATAATCATCTTCAGTCCTGATTCAGCTGGAAAGATTTCTGGCAATTGGTAAGTAAATGTTGGATCGAAAGAAACTGAAAAATGTTATAGTAGCATTTTGTATCACCTGATAAACGTTCTGTTTACTTTAAATGCAGGTATGGCTATGTAACTCCTGAGGATGTACCTGAATTGCTTGACCAGCATATTGCAAAAGGAGAAATCATTCAAAGGATTTGGAGGTATAGGTTTTTAACTCCTGTTTCTATCTTGTACACATATGTCTCTGTCAAAATATCTTTTAGTTTAATTGGTATATCGTTGTCTAGAGATAATCCCTTGTGTTCCAACAGAACTGATCTTGCTAGTTGATCATTTTCAACGTAGAGTACTTTGTTTTGCCCGTTGTGTTACCCGATAAGAATATCCCGTCTCTTCACTGGAATCAAATTGCAGCTATATTAGTTACACTGGTCCTGAACTAGACTGGCAACAAATCCCTATCACCCTTAACTGGTGTAATTATGCATAGCAGTTGCTAGCTTAACAGTTACTAGGGTGATGATTGACTGTAGCTTTATTGATCTTATTGTTTTCGTATACAACTAACTTGCAACATTTTACTTTTGACAATAAGTGGATATGATATTTTCTGTTTTCGACCTTCTCTGTACTGCAAACACTATAGAATGCAATATTTTCTGTCTCTGTCTCTGCTCTTCAGCAGGATTGCTTAGTTTGCTATTTATGGTTGGTAGGTTATATACTAAATCAACTTTGTGTTTCAGGGGCCAAATGGGTCTACCTGGAGGTGTAGCTGAGAAAGAGCATGAACAGAAAGTGATACCAAACGGTAACCGCGCAGCAGAAGAGTTCACAGGAGGATGTTGTCAAGGATCGAACGGTGTCTCGTGTTGCCAAGACGAAAACCCAAAACCAAAACCAATCAAGAAAGAAGGAAAGTGCACCAAATGGTTTCAGCCTCTTGACAAAGAAGAAATCTACATTGGAGCCGCCGTGGTTGGAGCCGTTGCAACCATAGCCATGATTGGTTACACCATTTTCAAGAGGTCAGGATAAGGAATCTACCCTTACGCTTCTTACTTACCAATTTGGTTCATGTTAGAAGTTTTTTTTTGGAAATTGCCACGACACACGACAGAAAAAAAGAAGAAGAAATATACATCGATTCGATCACAAAACACACCTGAGGAATTATGTTTTTGTCTGTGATTCTCTCTACCGTTAAAGAAACAAATAAACTTTTTGGTATATGGGAGTTTTTTTCTCTCTTTTTTTGTAGTTTGTCTCCCACGCTATGTTTGTTGTTGTATTTTACATTTTGCGGTTTGGTGGAACTCGTGCTGATGAGCCGTATCTTTTGTGAACAGTGGTCTCTTTCTCGCTTTGGTGCAAATTATTTTTGTTGTCCTAATAAAAATTTGATTTGGTTAAGTGATTTTAGTTTGATTTGGTTCGTTTTGAAACCGGTTGTTGCAGCAGTTCATGTCTATGGTTGGTTGCAATCACACAAATTGTTCCATGCATAGGTATGTGTAAATGATGCAATTACAAATGCAAACATTGGAAAGAAGAAGTTAGAAAGGAAAAATAATGCATGAATTCCTCGTTCGACCCAAAAAAAAAAAAAATGCATGTATTCCTCTTGTACATGACTACAACGTTACTCAATCATGTTGAGCTTTAGTAGATGATGATTATCTACGTAAATTGAAATTGGATAAGACGCGTCTCTTAATTTGCACTTTAATTTTGGAGAATTTGTGATTTTAAAAACTTAGTTATAATTTATGAACGTGCTCATTTGTCAATTTAGAAAGAAGAACTCACTCTTACGCCTGTTCATTTCCTAGTTGTAAATTTGAAAAAAAAAAAAAAAAAAAAAGCCTACCTCAAAATATCTAAATTCATAGAAAATTTTGGATACGGTTAGGATCGACTCACATTAACCATTCACAATCTTCACAATTTGCATAATTGTTTATTTAGTGTACTGGCTTACTATAATTAGCTCCTATCAAATTCTAACAACATAATTGGGCCAATTACATAAGCCCAATAAAATTGAGTCCATGGCCCATAAGATAACAATTATCTACTACTGAAAGTAACCTAACATAGCGAAAGAGTTGGAACTCCGGTGGAGGAAGAAGACGGACGACGACGACAAGAGCCATGAAAGAGGAAGCTACAAGCAGAAATAGAAAGAGGAAGAGACAAAGAAACCCTAAAACCCCTAAAGAGGAGCCTAATGAGACACCGAAGAAACAAAACAACGACAAAAAGAATCAGAGAGAGACCAAAACCCATAAAAACCACCAACATGGAGGATCTTCAGCTTCATCGAAACGACCTAAACCTTCCAATTATCTCGATATGGTTCTCTCTCTTTCTCTCGATTACGAACATTTGTTTGCTGTCTGATTGGATTATGATAGAACCATTTTACGAAAAATCGCAGCTTCGAGAGAAATTATCCGGTGGGAACTTCAGGAGGCTCAATGAGAAGCTCTACACTTGCTCGTAAGTTTAATTTCATTTTTTAATTTCTGGTGATTTTTTTCTTCAGTTTCACAGAGCTTAAGATTCCTTTTTTTTTTCTTCCAATAATCTCGTTTTCTCAGTGGACAAGAAGCATTAGATTACTTTAGAGAGGATCCAGACTTGTTTGATATGGTAAACACATTAGCTCCAGAAACAAGAGCTTAGTTTAATCTGTGCACTTCTAAAGTTATAAAATTTGGTTCTGTTTTCGTTTCAGTATCATACAGGTTATCAGCAACAAATGTCAAATTGGCCCGAGCTTCCTGTTAACTCCATTATAAACTGGCTATTGTCTCGAAGCTGTTCTTTAGTTGTGGCTGATTTTGGCTGTGGTGAGATTTTCTGATGATACTGTATTTTGCTGTCGAAATTTCTTTTACTGACATGATCATCATATCGATATACAACTCTGTTTTTTTTGTTTAATTTGTTCAGGTGATGCAAAGATTGCAAAGAGTGTTAAGAACAAAGTTTTCTCCTTTGATCTTGTCGCAAAAAACCCGTCTGTTATCGCTTGCGATATGTCAAATGTACATTCTTTCTACTTCCATGATAATGTTTTCTTTTTGTTCACTCTCAGACTTAAACTGGTTCTGTTTTTGGTGGGTTTCTTGGTAGACTTCGCTTGAGTCTTCATCAGTAGATGTTGCTGTTTTCTGTCTTTCGTTGATGGGAACAAATTATTCAAGTTACATCAAAGAGGCACATCGAGTTCTTCGTCCAAGGTTCTGTTTTTCCCTTAACTTCCTAGACTCTTCTTCATAGATTTTTGTCATGACTCTGAATAGCAACTCATTGGGTGTTTTCAACAGCGGCTGGCTTCTTATAGCGGAAGTAAAAAGCAGGTTTGATCCAAATAATGGAGGAGCAGACCCAAAAGACTTTGTGAAAGCAGTTTGTGACCTTGGATTCACGTCGACTTTAAAGGTAAAATCTTTTGTCACGAATAGGACTCTTCTTTATTTTTTTAGTTTCCACTATAAGAGAGAAACCCATTTGGTTCTTTTCTGTGTAGGACTTCTCGAATAAGATGTTCATCTTACTGCATTTCAAGAAAAAGGTTAGTGAAAGATGCTTCCTTTAGGCTTGGTTTAGTTTGTCTCTGAGATTGGATCTCCACTATAGTTATAACACCTTACTTTCAATCATATAGGAGGAGTCGAATTCAAATGAGAAGAAAATCGAATGGCCTGAGTTAAAAGCATGTTTATACAAACGTCGGTGATGGGTTTATGATGGAAGATCAAACAGAGTGCTGGAGTGTAGTGCTTTCTGTGTTCTTCAGTGTTGTATTATTTAGGCATATTGATTGTCTGTAAAAGCTCAGACTTTCATCTTTGTTTCAGAATTTTGTTATACAAAGTGAGATTCAGTGCCTTTGTTTTTTTTGACATAATGCAAGTGTCATTTCGATTGAATGATTTGTCATTTTGACTTGAGTTTATGAACGTAAATTTAAATGGAGGAAATTCACAAACATATTCATTAGGAAGGTTACACATCTATGCATTTTCATCATTTCTTAAAGATAAAAAGAGTGTGAACTTAAACAAGTGTCTCTGTTTATTTCAATAGATTATATGTACATTGTACATACCCATCTAATTTATCTACCACTGTTCTTTTGAGCAAATAGATGTCTTTGGACTTTGATACTTGTAGAGTATTGTGATAGATGATGAAAAAGTACCAAAGGACTGATCTTGTAAACAAAAAAGGTCCCACCTTTCTCATCTCACCGACGAATTTTTTTTTGTTTTTTGGCCCACGATCTTTGATTACATGCATAGTTTTTTGTCCTCTTGTCAATTATTAAAAAGAGTGTTGTTGTTAAAGACTAATAAAAGAGTTTGTTTGTTTGTGTCTATTTTTATTTCTTTTAAGAAAGACTTTAGACTTGTTTCACTGCTCCTATCTCTACATTCTAGGAAGCTTCCTTTTTACAACTTTGACTTTTGTTCGGTTTTAGTTTTTATTTAAGTCCGGTTCATTTGATTCAATTTTGGTTTATTCATTTGATTTTATTCGGTTTACGTCTCTGTAAATTTTGCCGACCAACAAAAAGCAGAACAAAACCATTGAGAGACAGAAGACAAAAAGAGATGAGATAGATGCATCTTGTCACTTGACTTGCGCGGAAAAAGCAAACATCTTTCTGATCATTCAATCTTTTTGTCTTAAACCAATTGAATTCCCAAAAAAAAACCAAAAATAATGCTTTATAAATTCATAAATCTTTATCACCTCCAAAGTACGACTTTAATCATCAAATCTTGACCAGTTCTCCATCTGAGTTTTATCTTCAGTTCTCTGTGTGTCAGCTCAAGTTCAGAAAAAGAAAAAATATATTTTTTATCTTGTTATTCACAAATTGAGATTGTTGTTTCTTTCTAAGTCTTTTTGTTTTTATTATATTTATGGAAGTCTCTTGATTTCGCTTTATATCCCCCCCCAAAAAGCATCTTTGTTTCTTGATTGTACCAAGAATGATAGATCATCAAAAGGGTCTGGATTTGACAGGTCTCTAATTAGGGTTTTTAGTATAGAAAAAAAAAAATCAAAAATCTCAAACTGTTGGTGATGGGATCTGTAACTGGCTTTTACTCAAATCCAGTGTTTGAATTGGATCCAAAATGGGTCATTGATCCTCAACATCTCTTCGTTGGTCCCAAGATTGGTGAAGGAGCTCATGCCAAAATTTATGAAGGAAAGTAAGTTGATTTTTTTAATTCTCCCCATCATTTATCAGATTACTTTCTAATGTTGACTTCACTTTTACTCACTTTTATGATTAGCAAATTGGGTTCTTAAATCTTAATCCATTATTATTGCCCTTATTTCTCGGGGTTTGATCTACTTGGACTGGTTCTTCAAGTTGTGTCTAAATAAAGAAACTTGAGGCTTAGCATATGTGAAAAATGAAACTTCTAGCCTTTTGGATTATCTGTTTGAGTTTCATGTTTGTTCAATGAGTTATGTATGTAAAAAAGTTATTCTTGTATCTTCAACATTTTCAAAGAAATGTTGTCTCTTGAAATTCCAGAATCTAGTGTGAATTAGTTGTGCACATTCAGTCATAGAGATAGTTTTCACAGATGTTACTGTTGATGAGAAAGTGTTGGGATTTATCGAATGTTTTCTATTTAGGTATAAAAACAAAACAGTCGCTATTAAGATTGTTAAAAGAGGGGAATCTCCGGAAGAGATTGCAAAGAGAGAGAGCAGATTTGCAAGAGAGGTCTCTATGTTGTCTAGAGTTCAACACAAGAATTTGGTCAAGGTTCCACTTCTTTTCTTTAATCGAGTCTCTAGTTTGGTTAGAGACAACACATAATGTTTTGATTTCGATTTCTGTGTAGTTCATTGGAGCCTGCAAAGAGCCAATCATGGTTATAGTCACCGAACTTTTACAAGGCGGTACATTGCGTAAATACCTTGTGAGTTTGCGTCCAGGGCGTTTGGACACACGTTTAGCTGTTGGATTTGCTCTTGACATTGCTCGAGCAATGGAATGCTTACACTCTCATGGAATCATCCATCGTGATCTCAAACCAGGTAACAGTCAAAACCGAAATCATACCTAGCTCAAGACTTACTAAAGAAAAAGTAACAATCTTGGTCTTGCTTATATCTTCTTTTTTGGATTGCAGAGAACTTGATCTTGACCGCAGATTACAAGACTGTGAAGTTAGCAGATTTCGGTTTAGCTAGAGAAGAATCACTAACCGAAATGATGACCGCAGAAACTGGTACATATCGTTGGATGGCTCCTGAGGTATGATCACTTTTCTCCTACTCTGCATTTGTCATTTTGCTTTCCAAAAATGTGCCTAATCCACCAAACCACGGTTAAACAGCTTTATAGTACGGTCACGTTGAGGCACGGTGAGAAGAAACACTATAACCATAAGGTGGACGCGTACAGCTTTGCCATTGTCTTGTGGGAGCTTATCCACAACAAGTTACCTTTTGAAGGCATGTCGAATCTCCAAGCCGCATACGCTGCTGCATTCAAGGTTTTGATTCTTGACTTATAAGTTTCAACCATTTGATACTCAAAAGTTTAATTCTTGATTTCAACCCATTTGATTCTTGATTTCAACTGCTTGGTTCTTGCTTTTTCAACCGATTAATTCTTGATTTGAACCGTTTTATACTGTATCATAGTTTCTACTGTTTGGTTCTTGATTCCAAAGTTTGATACTTAATTTGCAACCGTTATTCTTGATTCAAAAGTTTGGTTCTTGATTTACAACTGTGTGGTTCTTGATTTGATTCTTGATTTATAAGTAACAACCATTTGAACGTTGATACTCAAACGTTTGTTTTTTTTATTTCAACCCATTTGATTCTTGATTTCAAACTGTTTGGTTCTTGCTTTTTCAACCGTCTGATTCTTGATTTTTCAACCGTTTGATTCTTGATTTTCAACCGTTTTATACTTTCTCATGATTCCAAAGTTCGATACTTGATTTGCAACCGTTGTATTCTTGATTCCAAAGTTTGGTTCTTGATTCGCAACTGTGTGGTTCTTGAATTTTCAAACCGAAATACCTTTAAATCTGGTTCCTACACTGTTTTAGCGGATTGTTGTCTGTTTTTATTTTTCCTGGTTAGAACGTGAGGCCAAGCGCAGACGATTTACCGGAGGATTTAGCAATGATTGTGACATCTTGCTGGAGAGAAGATCCAAACGATCGACCAAACTTCACAGAGATTATTCAAATGCTTTTACGCTACCTCTCCACAGTCTCATCAGCACTGGAGCTTGTTCCTCCGTCGATGAAACGCGTTTTCTCGTCGGAAAACACCGTGTTGCCCCCTGAATCTCCCGGAACATGCTCGTTGATGGCTGTTGTTAGAGACGGAGATCAGAAGTTAAACGCGGATGCAAACTCGGCGGAGAAAGAAGTTAAAGGAAGCTTCTTCTTTTGCTGCTGCTAGTTTAGATTTGCTTTATTGGTTACAAAAGAAAATGAGATAAAGTGGTTTGGTGAATAAATTGTAATGAATGGTAATGTATTATTAAGTTGTTCGGTGAATGATAATAGCTTAGAGTTATTGTTATGAAACTAAATGCAGTTTTAATCTTAAAATTTATATATAATTTGTAAAGTTTTTTATGGTCTTATTTTGAATATATAATATATTCTGTTTGGAAATTTTAAATTTTGGTATAATATTTATTAAGATGAATAATTATTTTGGCAACAAAAAAAATAAAATCCAATGGCTATATCAGAAGGCAAAAATACAAAATATTACTATATTTTATACTTTCTTTTGCTGCTGCTTTATTGGTTACAAAAGAAAATGAGATAAAGTGGTTTGGTGAATAAATTGTAATGAATGGTATGTATTATTAAGTTGTTAGGTGAATGATAATAGCTTAGAGTTATTGTTATGAAACTAAATGCAGTTTTAATCTTAAAATTTATATATAATTTGTAAAGTTTTTTATGGTCTTATTTTGAATATATAATATATTCTGTTTGGAAATTTTAAATTTTGGTATAATATTTATTAAGATGAATAATTATTTTGGCAACAAAAAAAATAAAATCCAATGGCTATATCAGAAGGCAAAAATACAAAATATTACTATATTTTAGTCAAACAAAAGAGAACGAAAAATTGAATTATTGGTTTACTTAGCAGTTAACTATTTTGATGAGTTATTCATTTCAAATTTTCCATCAGTGCATTGAGAAAGATAAAGCTTTTAATTACGGATACAAATAATGCGATGCTTACGGATACGGCTACTGAGGAGAAAGTCTGGAGTACTTTATTTGATGATGAATCTGGAGAAAGCTTCAGAGCCAACGTCGTAGCCAATTATTAAGATGGACATTGTGAATTTAGTCAACGGTTTCTTGGATATTGGGATTTTCGATAAAAGATTGAATATGAAAAATATTTGTCTAATACCAAAAACGAGAAGACCCACGAGGATGGCAGAATTAAGGTTTATTAGCTTATGTAATATCAGCTATAAAATCATATCTAAAGTGCTTTGTCAAAGACTGAAACGCTTGTTACCCGACATAATCTCGGAAACTCAATCGGCCTTTGTGGTTGGACAACTGATTTTGGATAATATACTTATAGCTCAGAAGATGTTTTAAGGATTGCGGACAAATCCATCGTGCAAAAACAAATATATAGCAATTAAAACGAATATGAGTAAAGTTTATGATAGAGTTGAATAGTTTTTCATTGAGATCCTATTACGAAAATTTGGTGTCGCGGAGAAATAAATAATATGGATGATGCGGTGCATTACTTCTATAAGATACAAAGTTCTGTTAGATGGACAGCCTCTAGGTCAAATAATTTTGGGGAGGGGACTCCATCAAAAAAATCCGCTATCTCCATACTTGTTTATCTTATGTACGAAAGTTTTAGTTGCAAATATAAAGAAAGTTGAGAATGAGAATGTGTTCACGAGTTTGAAAATAACAAAAGCAAGTCCATCAGTGTCATATTTACTTTTTGCGGATGACAGTTTTTTCTTTTGCAAAGCAAACAAGGAAGAATGCCATAAGATTCTGAGCATACTAAGACAGTATGAGGGAGTTTCAGGCTAACAAATCAATTTTGATAAATCATTTGTTCAATTTGGACATACGGCCCTGGAGGAAGTACAACATGAGTTGAAACAATTTTAGGAATAACAAAAGACGGAGGAACATGGACATACCTTGGCATTCCAGAAAGTATGGGTGGCGCCAAAACCAAGATTTTCAATTTTATAATAGATAAACAACAAGATAAAGGTTAATAGTTGGACCTCGAGGTTATTATCAAAAGGGGGAAAATAAGTTTTAATCAAATCGGTAGCTTTAACAATGTCCACCTTGTCTTATCATGCTTTCGGTTTCCTAAGTTTACAACAACGAAACTTACTAATATAGCAGCACAGTAATGGTGGAACTCTGATGGACATCAACGAAGCATGCATTGGTTAACATGAAGAAAGATGTGTAGAGATAGGGCAGAAGGGGGAATGAGGTTTCGCGATTAATTATGAATTCTAAAAATTCATAATAATAATAATAATATTAATTATACCTGTGTACGTTTGGTTTTATTTGGTTTAATGAAAAGTACTCAAACTTAAAATAATTGAACCACCTCGCCTTATAATTATTTCACTTATGTTAGTAATAAGAGTGTTAGATGGAGTAGCCTTGGTTGCAAGAGTTTCGATGCTTAAAAGCCAAGAAACGTAAATCTGTAATACGTTGAATTGCTTTGAGTTAGGTAGGGAATAAAATGATTGGTTTGTGGATGTTAAAGGAAAGAATGTTTTTTTGCCGAAAAATAGGTGATACACTTAGTGAACACAAGCGCTTGTACCAGTTAATTCATTCTCTTTAACTGGATCTTTGCCGAAGGAGTTCCCTTTTGAGACCTGGAAGATGAACGTTGACAATGTAATGCTCCCAGTCAATGCGTCTGCCATCAAACTCAAACATCTTTCTCTCTTCCATTGACATGTCTTGTATCAGATTCCTTGTATTGGTATCATCAAACCTGCTATATATGGACTATTTTTTTTAAGTAATCTGATAGCATTTTTTGGCTTAATAGAAGAAATTAAAATCCATGTTATGTACCGCGCTTGAAAGAATGTGTAAGGCTGATATGTTCTTGCTAGGGACACAAAATAATTTAGCTTCCTCTTGCCCTTGATGCTCAATGTGGTATGTGGCTCTCCTCCTCCTCCTCCATTCTTCATTTCTCTTTCTTGTTTTGCTATAGTGTTGGATACAGAGGAGGTGAAACCCTTTAAGGAACTGTGGAATTTCATAAGCTCTAAGTCTATTTTTCTCATAACTTCTAAGTCAATCACTGTTGTTGTCAATGGAGAGTCACACAGATGTTGACGAGAGAAGTCCATCAACTCGCCAAAAAGAAAATTTTTAACCTTATTCCTTGGAGCCAGCCAGGGAAAGGTTCCTTGTACGAGCTTTCTATAACACTAGGCCTTATGATCACTACGGGAAACATTCCTCGTTTGCTAGTAATTACGGTCTCACCCATGGCTTTTGTGAATGTGTAAGCGTTTTCCCAGCCATAATGTTGAGCTCTGGTATATCATAAGATAATAACAAGGTTGTTTCAGATTTGGTAAATAAGAAAGTCAAGAAAGTAAGTTTTTTTTTTTTTCTCATTTATCCTCACCTTTCGATACCAAGCTCTTTCAGTTTCTTGATTTCTTCACTGCCATGAAACTTTTTCACAGCCTCTGAAGCTAGTTTCTTCTCAGTTTCAATGTTTAAGTTGGAAGCTATGTTTTCTCCAATACAGAGAGGAGTCTCCAATACTTTCCCTTCTCTCTTACCAGTCACATAAGCTACATAAGAAAATCAAAAGAAAACAAAACAGTAGTGTCCCATACTTCTCTTAACAAAAACCCTTTTTTCTTCCAAAACATAAACTTGTACCAGTTGAAAAGTGGAGAAAAAGCTTCAGCTTCTTGCAATCCTTGCCGAAACTCAAGAGCCGACCAGGTCCAAGAGCATTAACGCTTAAAGCAGAATCGTATCTGTTTCCATTTGTTTGGATCAAAAACAATATTAGAAAGTATAATAACAAGAAGTTTGGATTCTACGTGTTGTCAATGACAAACGTCGAGCCAAGAAGTGGTTTGGTTTGTCGGAGAAGAAGCTGAAGCCATCCATTTTGACGGCGTTGTTGATGGCTAAGAGATTCCTGATAGCCATTTTTAGTTACCAGCGAAAAGAAAAAGAAAATGAAGAGCTTTTTGATATGGTTTTCTTTGGAGCCTTGGAGGGTTTTAGTGTGAGAATATATATAATAGAAAATCACTTAGGAGTTATTGTGGTTAGGTCTCCAGTCAGGTCACAGGTGTCATATCTTCCACTGTTTATGGTTGGAGTGTGGACCGTAAATCATTGATTGTTTCTGATAAGAACTAAAATACAGAAACTTGAATTGATAGACTCACAATGTCACCGATTGGATCAATGATCTCTTTGCGATCAAGAACAAGCTCATGACGCTTGAACAAAATATAATGACAAAATGCATAAAAAAAGACAAACAACAATATTCAATCTATATAACTTTCGGCTCTGTGAGAGTATTAACTCCTTAATGGTATTCACGGACTGGTAGAGAATTAGGTTTCCATTAGCCTTGGGCATTCGGTTGGTTCAGGTTCGGGTCGGGTCTTTCCGGGTTTCTTGGGTTTAGGATTTAGGATCCCTTGAGGATATTTTGTATGTTTTGGATCAGTTTGGATCGGATTTTATAATCAGAACCGAAGTTTACCTGAAAAAAATATTGGGTTCCGATTGGATCGGTTATATTGCACCTGAACATAACCAAACATGTCAAAATACCTTAAACCAGTCTGAATTACCCAAAAAATGTCGAAGACATCAAATCGAGTTGAACAACAAAATCAATTCCTAATCCAAACATAGGAGAAGACAATTTAACCAAAATACAAAATCATGTAAAAATTATTAAAATTGAAAACACAAAGCCAAGTAACAAACTCACAACGCAAAACATAACCATTATCCATTGTATCATCGCTCATGACTCTCATTGTTTATATAATCAGTTCCAAATCTTCGAACCTGTAAAGAAAGAAAACCATCAATTAAGTGTATAGTTGACTAAATATTTAGTCTTTTACATCTCTGTTCCAGTTTCATATTTGTTCAAAGAGTTATGAATCAAAAAGTGATTTTGTATCAACATTTTCAAAGATATGTTTTCACTGGACATTCCAAAACTAAGAGTGAATCAGTTGGGCACATTCAGTCATATAGATAGTTTTCACAGATGTTACTGTTGATAAAAAAAAAGTGTTGGGATTTATCCAAAATTTGGTTTTCTTGTTTAGGTTTAAAAACAAAACAGTCGCTATTAAGATTGTTAAAAGAGGGGAATCTCCGGAAGAGATTGCAAAAAGAGAGAGCAGATTTGCAAGAGAGGTCACTATGTTAAAAGGGCTTCATCATCGTCGGCTTCCTCTGTTTCAACCTCATGCATATTTGTTTCTTGAAGTTTTCGGATTCTATCTGGACACATAGAGGCCAAGTGACCAGGCTTGTCACAACGGTAGCAGATTACTTTGGAAAGATCCTTCTTCTCCCTTGTCTGAATTGAATCGTCTTGATCCACTGATTTGTCTTGAGAACTAAATCTTCCTCCTCTGCCTCGTCCTCCTCTGTTTCCTCGTCCTCCTCTGTTTCCTCGTCCTCATCCTCTTCCGTATGAGGCATGTTGATCTGAATTTGCATAGAGCAACTTGCCTTGTGTCTCATCTTGATTCTCCTCATCAAGTATGTGTTCTTCTTAGGAAAGTCGTCCAGTGATATCTTCAAATCCAGTTGTCTTTAGGTCTAGAACCTGTTCTAGAGACGCGATGATATGAATGTACTTTTTTCTCGGTAAGCTGTTGAGAAACTTCTTAACAAGCTTTGGTTCATCGATCGTTTCTCCAAGAGCATTGATTGTATCAGTGTCTTTCATCCTCATTCTTTCAAATCAGACATTAGGGTTTGAAGCCTAGCTTCTTTAACACGGTTAGCACCTAGGTTGCGAGTTCTAATCACATCCCATATTGCTTTAGGAGAGTTTTGGTCACCGACTTGCAAGATCAAAGTCTCCAGAATGGATTGAAATAGTAATCTTGTTGCGATGTCATTCTGGATCGATGGTCTCCCACACCATCCTCATCGCCCATACAGTGTAATTTGTGGTGGTAAGCATTGGGCACTGTATTGGGGATGGAACTGTCTCCTTTGATTGAGTAGCTGGGACTATGTCTCCCATGGTTTCGTATCGAAGTATGTTCGTGTTTCAAAGCTTTTGAATTGGATCGATAATCCTTGAAGCTCTGATACCAAATAAAAGATCTTAAAGTACTTAGCTTTATGTTAAGAATAGCTCTCTAATATTAATGCTTAGGAAAATATCTCAAAACCTAAACACCCAAAACTCATATGTAATGCCACATCTCGACATTCATATATATATATAGTAAAACAATTTCCTTTTCCTAATTGTATTAGATAACTTAAACCAACTAGAGAATGTATTATTGCCTTTCTTATCCTTAATCCAACTTGATAAAGATGACTTAGGCTGCAAGTAATGCTGAAGCTTATCCAACACAAGCCGCATATGCTGCTGCTTTGATTCTTGACTTATAAGTTACGTACAACCATTTGAACCTTGATACTCAAATGTTTGTTTCTTGATTTCAACACATTTGATTCTTGATTTCAAACTGTTTGGTTCTTGCTTTTTCAACCGTTTGATTCTTGATTTTTCAACCGTTTTATACTTTCTCATGGTTACTACTGTTTGGTTCTTGATTCCAAAGTTTGATACTTAATTTGCAACCGTTATTCTTGATTCAAAAGTTTGGTTCTTGATTTGCAACTGTGTGGTTCTTGAATTTTTCAACCGAAATACCATTAAATCTGGTTCCTTAACCGGACACTGTTTAAGCGGATTGTTGTCTGTTTTTATTTTTCCGGGTTAGAACGTGAGGCCAAGCGCAGATGATTTACCGGAGGATTTAGCAATGAGACCCAAACGATTGACCAAACTTCACTGAGATTATTCAAATGCTTTTACGCTACCTCTCCACAGTCTCATCAGCACCTGAGGAGATTGTTCCTCCATCGATGAAACGCGTTTTCTCGTCCGGAAACACACTGTTGCCACCTGAATCTCCCGGAACATGCTCGTTGATGGCTGTTGTTAGAGACGGAGATCAGATTCCTACGGATGCAAACTCGGCGGAGAAAGAAGTTAAAGGAAGCTTCTTCTTCTGCTGCTGCTAATTTAGATTGATTTATTTGTTACAAGAGAAAATGAGATAAAGTGGTTTGGTGAATAAATGGTAACGTATTATTAATTTGTTGGGTGAATGATAATAGTTTAGAGTTATTGTTATGACATTCTTGAAATTATGTATAGTTTCGCCAGAACAATAATCATATAAAACAAACAAGTTCTGACTTCTGATGTCAACAAAACATATGAAAGATACAAAAAAAGAAGAAGTTATATTAAGAATGGTTCTCTCTTACTAACCATAGACTAGATTGCTCCTAGTAGGGAAGACAAGAGTTTGCTCTTAGTAACGCTTTGGAGAAAACTTGACCTGGATTTTGCACTTGGACGAAGCTCTGGGAAGCATTAACAGATCCGTTGTGACTTGTAGCTTTTTGTCAACTGATACCTGAGCATGAACTTCCACCAGTTCAAGACATGGCAATTTCCCCAAGAAATGCTTTATTTGCTCCAGCTCTTGGATAGAACCATCATACTTATTTATCTTTAGGACCTCCACAGGACATGACAATAGGAAAGAATATTCTGACACGCACTGGCATACTAATACCTCTTCTCTTCGTCCACGTCCATAGTGCAAACGATCCTGAAACAAATATTAAAAAGATTTGAGATTCAAGATTTACGTGTGCCTATAAGGTTTTCAGTATTTTGCTTGTCCAATGACCTTTTGGGGTTAAGGTCATACCTCAATGATGAGAGTTTTTAGATTTGGAGATTTCTCTAATAGAATTGGTAGAGAATACCAACAGAAGTTAGATAGGCCAACCGATATCTGATACAGCTTTCAAACACTGGAATTGCTTCACGGAAGACAGAAAACATCTGAAACATAAGAAAAATATATGTACAAAATCTCAATAGTTAATCAGATTCATTGGATTGAAATAGGTAAAGAGGACACTTACCTTCATAGTATCAATAGTTAAGTACAAAATCTCAACATTTTTAAACCCATTAATCAGATTCATTGGATTGAAAAAATCATCTGCATGTTCTTCTACCCATATACGGTGTTCATCCACACGAAGCATGAGCTTAGCTTCAACAAGGGACTTGAGATTAACAACTAGATACTCTCTAGGTACATAATCAGAGTACTCCAAGTAAGTTAGACCCGGAGTATCCAAACTAATGCTGTCAAAATCATAAGCAAGACACCGACAATCCAGTCTAATGGTCTCCTCATTAGATCCATCATAAGAATACCACTTTTTACGTCGAATAGTAAGTCTTTGAAGGGTCGGGCTGGACACGGTGCAAGACCATTTCCAGCGTTCCCATTGGATACTATCCATGACTAGTTCCTCAAGCAGAGGAGACGCGGAGAGAAGCGTATTGAACGTGCAACGACCACCACCAGAATCGTGGAACCGAACAGAATCAAGAAAGAGCGTCTTGAGAGCCGGAAGAGAAGCATCCGCAGGGAGAAAGTCGACCACGAGACCGGACCCTAGTTTCATCTCAGCAACTGTCTTGCAAGTGAAAACCTCAAAAGGCAGTGAGTGATATCCTTTTCTTGGGAAACTTATCAGGAGTTCAAGAACCAAAACACCACGCTTCAATACGTGGCAGAGACAACGATTGATCTGTTCCTCATGTTGAGCAGCCACATGGTTACATTTTAGAGAGAATGTTCTTACACGGCAAGTGACTGGTAGAGCCAACACTCGATCAACAAAATCCTTGAATCTCTCTCCATCATTAACCACAGAGCCATCGAAATGAAGCTTTGGTATGATGGTAAACAGATTCCGCCACCGGCTCGAGAGAACCGAAGCGAAAGCAGCCTCCTTTGCAGAAAGGAAAGACCCAATGTGGCAAATGATCTCATCTGGTAGATTACTGATTCTATCCATAACAATTTCGCAAATCCAAAGACAAAGCAGCCTCTTTTAGCTACTAGACATTCACTAACCAGTATCTCTATCAGATCATTCACATGAAGATGACGAAGCAGAAACCATCATAAACGGATATATGCAGAAAGATCCAAACTAAAGCGAAGTTACAGTCTTACAGAAATGGTGGTAGACGACAAAGAGAAATCGGATCAACACTACAATGATACCATGAATTTTACCAAAATTCCATCTTTCGAACCCAATTTGTCAATTTGATGAAGAAGCAAATCTTCAAAACCCTAAGATGTGTCGTTTCGTTTGGTCGATGATTTTGGAGAAATATCCGAAAATTTGGGGGGTAAAAGGAAAATGCTTCAAGTTCAAAGTTAAAAGGAAAAATAATTGAAATTCGCCGATTCCGGAAATCGAACCCAGGTCAAGCGAGAATACTTACCACACTAATTCTCCTTGTCTTTTCCATCATTGACCCTGATCTGGTGGCCAGTCAACAGTGCCGTTAAACCCTGAACTCAAGTCGGAGCCGCACTGGAGAAGCGAAGCCATGGCGGAAGATGACAGCCGCCGCAATTGGAATCCACGTGCCGGTCCATATCTCGGAGAAGTCTCTTCTTTAGCTTTCCTCAATTTACCTCAACATGTTTCTTCCGTTCCTTATCTCCTCGCCGGTGAGCTCTCTCCCCCGATATAAATATTTGAAGTTTCGATTGGAATGATTTGATTAGGGTTTCGTTTTTGGGTTTATTTAGGTTCCGGTTCGGAGATTCTGCTTTACGATTTGAGTTCCGGGGAGCTGATTCGCTCGTTTCAAGTGTTTGAGGGAGTTCGCGTACATGGAACTGTATGTAGCTGCAGCTTTGTTCGTTCTGCGGAGGAGCGATATACGTATAAGCTTGTTGTATTCGGAGAGAAGAAAGTGAAGATTTTTTCATTGATTGTTGAATTTGTCTCCTCGAGCCCTGGTGAAATCTCCGTGAATTTGGAAATATTTGATTCTTTGCCGAGGCTTAGCAATTGGGTTTTCGACGTTTGTTTCTTGCAGGTGTGAAAACTCTCTGTTTCTGTGTTAGTCTGCTTGTGATTCTATAATGGTCCTTATTCTTGATGGTGGGTTTGTTATTGTGATAGGGCTCTACCGAGGCTGGCTCATTGGAAGAAGAAGAACACAAGCTTCTAGCTATTGGATGTAGTGATAATTCTCTCTGCATTTGGGATGTGAATGAATCGCGTATAGCTCTTGAAATTCAGTCACCAGGTAAGTAGGGTTTAAGGGTTTTGAATGAAGAGTCTCAAGGTTAGAGTTTCTCATTTGGCTAAGTATTTGTTTGGTTGCAGAAAGGTGTCTACTGTATACTATGCGATTATGGGGCAACAGTATTTCAACTCTCCGCATTGCTTCTGGCACTATTTTCAATGAGGTATGCTTACATCATTTCTTTTCTTTTTGTCACCATTAAATCTTTTTCTTATTAGTTCTCTATTCAGTTTTGCTGCTAAGATAGTCTAAGTAACTAGAATCGAGTCGTTGTTGGCAGATCATTGTTTGGAAGGCAGCTGGCCTTGATGGTGATATGCGTAGACTTAGTGGACATGAAGGTTCAATATTTCGCATTGTTTGGTCTTTGGATGGATCTAAACTAGTCTCCGTCTCCGATGATCGTTGGTGAATATGTGTTTTGTGTTTTAAGTAAATACTTCACTTTTCCTTGAGTCATTTTTGTTCATGTATCTAACGACATAATCTTTTGCTTTTATAGTGCTAGGATATGGGAAATGGATGCGCAGGAGGTCGTTGGTCCTGTGCTGTTTGGTCACAGTGTCAGAGTTTGGGACTGCTGTATCTCAGATCATGTATGTCCCTCCAATTTCTTTGACTTAAATATATAGTTTTGTTTGGATTTTCTGCCTTTATTATAGTATTATGCTAAGAGGTTAAAATCATAGAATATGAATGTCAGCGCTTCTGAGATGAGATAACTTATCAGCCAGATTCTGATAAATAGAGGAACTGTCACTGCTCTAATTTTAGACATATGATTTGTAGGTATAAATCTGTCCATACATATGATCATATACAATTGATGAGCACATTAAAAACTCAACTTATGGATTATTAAATTTTAATTTTTTTCAGTTGATTGTCACTGCTGGTGAGGACTGTACATGCCGTGTCTGGGGCGTGGATGGTACGCCGCTGGAAGTAATCAAGGAACATATGTAAGTGGTGTTTTGGTCGATCACACTATTCACATCGTGCTTTTATGTTATTACTGATGAAGAACCATTGTTTATTATAAAGTGGAAGAGGCATATGGAGATGTTTGTATGATCCGAACTCATCCCTTCTTGTTACTGCCGGATTTGACTCTGCAATCAAAGTACATCAATTGCGTTATAGTGGGGCAGAAATATTGTTGGATACTGTAGGAGTGTTTCATTCACAAGACCAAGTGGAATCTTTTTCAGCCCGCCTCCCAAATTCAACGCAACATACTGGCCTCATGGACAGGTAGTACATGTTGGTGATTTTAGAGTCTACAGAATTGGTGTTTTATTTAACTTAAGGAAGAAGGTGGTTTATATTTATGCTTGGGTTTTCTTGTGTATAAATGTAAATACAATGGGTTTCCTCTTGCAGCAAGAGTGAGTATGTACGCTGCTTGCAGTTCACGCAGGAAGATACAATGTATGTGGCCACAAACCATGGTTGCTTATATCATGCAAGATTATTGTCATCTGGAAGTGTAAGGTGGACCGAATTAGTTCGCATACCTGAAGAGGGGCCTATTATTACCATGGATGTGATGTCTGGAGGAATGGTACGCGAGTCTTGTGTATTAGATGATTGGGTTGCCCTTGGAGATGGCAAAGGGAATATGACAATTGTTCGGGTTATTGGTGATATGACTAATCCACTTGTGGGATCAAATCATAGCTGGAAGGCTAGTCCAGAGAGACAACTTCTGGGGACCTTCTGGTGCAAATCATTAGGATATAGGTAAATACCTCATTCATTGAAAGGATATTCGGCGTATATGATGATTCATTTGAATAAGTTGTGTGGAATCACTTGGTGGCTTCCAGGTTTGTCTGTTCTTGCAATCCTAGAGGACTATTGAAGCTGTGGAGACTATTTGATCCTTTAGCTTCTGCTGCCTCTAGCGCTTCTGAAACTTATGATATCTCACTCTTGGCCGAATTCTCCTCTTCTTTTGGAATGCGAATAATGTGTGTTGATGCATCAGCTGATGATGAGGTAATATCCGTTTCAAGTATTGCCATGTTATTGTGTTATATTGCTTTCTTTTTCCTATCTACACCAATTCAACTAAATGAAGAGCTAAGAACACAACTCTTGGTTACGGCAAAACTAGGACATAATTTTTGTTATGTTAAGTCTAAAAATTGCATCCACGAGTTATGTTGTGTCTTAGGCTTTCTGAAGTTTGTAATTTGTATTGTAATGATTGTTCCTTGCAGGTGCTTGTGTGTGGAGATTTACGTGGCAATATTACACTCTTTCCATTGTCAAAGGATATGCTTAACGGTGTTTCTGCCTCTCCAGAATTGAAGATACCTTCACTTAATTACTTCAAAGCTGCCCATGGGATTTCAACTGTTTCCAGTCTTTCAGTTTCCAAATTAACTTCCAACAAAGCTGAAATATGCTCGGTATGATAATTTATTCACTTTGTTATGTTCTGCTCTTGGTTGTTCTTTGCTTAATCAGGAGAACAAATCATGAAATACTCCATATTATTTCTTGTCACGTGGACAATGAGCAGATTTTTCCTTTTTTTTTCCTTCCAAATCCATGTTTAGACTGGCGGAGACGGTTGCATATGTTATTTCGAATATGATAAAGAGAGGCAGACTTTAGAGTTCATGGGTTTAAAACAGTTGAAAGAGTTGAACTTAGTTCAATCTGTTTGCCTTGGATATGCAGCAGGATTTTCATCAACTGATTTTATGTTGTGGAACTTAACAGCGGAATCAAAGGTCCATCCCTGCCTTCTCATTTGATTGGCCTTTTCATTGCGAGCTGTAATTATATACTGAACTTCTTATAACAACAGGTTGCACAGATCTCATGTGGTGGTTGGCGTCGTCCCCACTCCTTTCATCTTGGAAACATCCCTGAGATGCAAAATTGTTTTGCATATGTGAAGGTACATATTTGGTCTCTCGATTGAAGTTGTATATTTTGTCTTTGACTAATCGTCAATCCGTCTCTTTTCTTAGGATGATGTTATCCATATTCATAGACACTGGGTTGGAGAACAGAAGACCAAAGTCTTTCCTCTAAATTTGCATACGCAATTTCATGGAAGAGAACTACATTCCTTATGCTTCATTAATGTGGATAAAAAAGCTGGATTTGAGTCTGAAGAATGTATATCTGATAGCTCTAGTTGGATTGCAACAGGGTGTGAAGATGGATCTGTGAGATTGAGTAGGTAGGTGCTAGTCTTATTAATTTTAATTACGTGATTTTCGATGGCGGTTTATATATACTGTTATGTAATCGTCTACAAATATTTTGCTTTATTTAGGTATGCATCTGAGCTTGGAAATTGGTCAACATCAGAGCTATTAGGAGAACATGTTGGAGGCTCAGCTGTGAGATCAGTTTGTTGCGTATCAAACATGCACATGATTGCTTCAGAGATACCTGACTTACCAGACATGCGCGGATCTGCAGTTGATGATGATGAAAGTCCTTGCTTACTGATTTCTGTTGGAGCCAAGCGTGTTGTAACGTCTTGGCTTTTAAGGAATGGTAGACAAAATAGAAAGGGAGAATCATCTATTAGTGATAATGGACTCAAAATAGCTTCATTGGAAGCATCTTCAGTGACGTTCCAATGGCTTGCTACTGACATGCCCACCAAAAGTTCTCATCCATGTAAAAAGATTGAGAATCAGAAAGTGGAAGGTGTAGAAGAAGATACTAGAGCTGATGTCACAAAATCAGGATCCAATTTGAATCACGAGCGAGAAAACTATGAAGATGATTGGAGATACATGGCTGCCACTGCATTTCTTGTAAAAAGTGTTGGTTCCAGGTTAGAGGGACAGCCTTCACTTACTTTGATTGAACCCATCAATGACAGACCATGTTGAAATATTTTCTCTTCATTTTTTCAGGCTAACTATTTGTTTTATCGCTGTGGCTTGCTCTGATGCCTCACTTACATTACGGGCCTTGGTCTTGCCACATAGATTATGGTAACCAGAAGACGTGTTCTACTTGTTTGATGACTTAATATTTACGTGGAGTTTTTCCTTAATTTTCCTGTGTGTTTCATTTTGATCTATTATGCGCCTACTTTCAGGTTTGATGTTGCGTCCTTGGTTCCTCTGACATCTCCAGTTCTGTCATTGCAACACGTTGTTGTGCCTCTGCATCTCTCACATGAAGGTTTAACCGTTGATATTTAGATTTCACTATCAGTTGACCTATTTTGAGTTCGTGTAACAATTTTGGTAACTTTACCTGACAGGTAATCATACAGCATCTAGTGATGTTTATCTTCTCATCAGTGGAGCCACAGATGGAAGCATAGCATTTTGGGATGTAACTAAATGTGTAGAAGCTTTTGTAAAGCAAGTATCGAGCCTCCATATTGAGAAGTTCATTGATTGTCAGAAACGACCCCGAACTGGAAGAGGAAGCCAAGGTGGTAGGAAATGGAAACTGTTAGGCGCCAACATTTCTAAGAGAACACAAGACGACAGTAGCAGTAACTCAGTTAGTGAAGAAGCTGCAGAAGAAGACCCAGCCACGTCTTTGGAACTCACGAATGACATTCCTCAAGGAAACGATAGAAACGATAGTGCAGACTCTCCACCTGAGATAAGTGAAATAAAGCCCTCACATGTCATTAAGAATGCTCATCAGTCAGGGGTTAATTGTCTCCATGTTTCTCGCTCGAGCAGTTCTCCAAGCCACGGCAATGGTTTGATGTTCAATATGATTAGCGGGGGTGATGATCAAGCCCTTCATTGTCTTAGCTTCAACATCCTTACTAGTAGTAGTAATAGTCCAGCCAACAAATCTAACACCATGGATCAAAACCGAACCCCAAGTTACAGTATCAGGCTCACAGACCGTGGTGGTATTGGATCAGCTCATAGCTCTGCCATAAAAGGTACTTAGAACAAGCCTCTACTTATCTTTTTAACCATTTCCCCTTTATTGAAAGACTGAAACTTGGTTCCAATGCAATGAAGGAGTGTGGATGGACGTGAAGTGGATATTCTCAACAGGTCTTGATCAACGTGTAAGATGTTGGTATCTCGACAAAGATGGTAAACTCATCGAGCAATCTCATATAGTCATCAGCGTACCCGAGCCAGAGGCGCTCGATGCTAAAGCCATTGATGAGTAAGTAAAATGCTTTGATTACTTCCCATAATCCCATTCATAAAGAGAAAAACTTGTTATTAACCTTTTTTTATCTATTGCTCTCTTACCTGCCAAATCCATATATTGAATCTAACTGCAGAAACCGATACCAAATCGTTGTTGCTGGACGCGGAATCCAAATGGTTGAATTCTCCGGTTAACAGCTAGGCTTTAAGTTCTATCTTCTGCTATGATTTATTTACAACCAGCGAGTCTTGGAGATGTCAAGCTGCATCCCAAATCAGTTTTGAATCCTGGTCGGTCAGAGAGTAATCCTGGTCGGTCAGAGTAAACCATTTCTAACTCGTGTAGTTTAGTTAGAAATGAGTTTTTATCTGTGCTCTATTTTAAGCAATACATTTGTCTAAATTTCATACATTTATAAATGCTCATGAGAATTCAGTTGTATTACTTCTACGTACGATTTTGATAAATGATTATGTGAAAATATTTTTTATATCAAGATTATTGTGAGAAATTATTGAACCCTGTAAATAGCAACGGCGTTGAGAGCCACAAATTATTAGCTTTGATGCATATTTTGTCAAAAGAAAGATCCGATATTTTTGCAGATCAGAGTCGCCCTAAATCGCAATTCTACCGCCAAAGGTATCGCTCTTCTTCTTCTTCTTCTCCGTATCTGTTATGAATTTTATTGATTTTTTGATTCTACATGCAGTTGTATTATTATTTATATGAGGTCGCTGATTCAATCTTTCTTCTGTTGTTTACAGCTTTAAGAAAAATGGAGACTTTCCTATTCACATCCGAGTCTGGACACCCAGTCAAGCTCTCTGATGCAGTCCTCGATGCCTGCCTTGAGACACGTACCAAGTCCAGGAGGCCTGCCTTGAGACATGCACCAGTCCTCAATGCCTGCCTTGAGACACGCACCAAGCCCATTGTCTCATTCACATCCGACTCTGGACTGACTGGACACTCAGACAAGCTCTGCGACCAGATCTCTGATGCAATTCTCGATGCCTGCCTTGAGCATGACCCCGACTACAAAGTTGTCTCTGAGACTGAGACACGCACCAAGCCCACTTTCTTGTTCGCATTCGAGTCTGGACTGACTGGACACCGAGATAAGCTTTGCGACCAGGTCTCTGATGCAATCCTCGATGCCTGCCTTGAGCAAGACCCCGACCGCAAAGTTGTCTGTGAGACTGAGACATGCACCAAGACCAACATGGTCATGGTCAAGAAGGCTACGGTTGACTATGAGAAGATCTTCCCTGACGCTTGCCGCTCCATTGGATTCATCTCTGATGATGTTGGTCTCAACATCGATCAACAGAGCCCAAACATTGCTCAAGGTGTTCACTGTCACTTCACCAAGCGTCCTAAAGACATTGGAGCTGGTGACCAAGCTCCACATGAGCTCATGCCTCCGAGCCATGTTCTTGCAACCAAGATCCGTGCTCGTATCGCTGAACTCAGAAAGAAGGGAACTTGCCGTTGGTTAAGACCAGACGGCAAAACCCAAGTCAATGTTGAGTACTACAAGGACAGCGGCGTAATGGTTCCAGTCCGTGTCCACACTGTCCTAATCGATGAAACCGTGACCAACGACGAAATCGCACGTGACCTCAAGGCACACGTGATCAGACCGATCATCCCAGAGAAATACTTTTACGACAAAACCAAAATCCACCTCAACCCACCAGGCCGGTCTGTGCTCGGTGTGGTGGACCACAAGGTGACGCTGGTTTAACCGGACGTAAGATCATCATCGATACTTACCGTGGATGGGGAGCACACGGAAGCGCGTGGTAGCTAATGGAATGGCTTGTAGGGCTTTTTGTTCAGGTCTCACACGCCATTGGAGTCCCCGAGCCATCATTGTCTGTCTTCTTCGTGGACACTTATGGGACCAAGAAGATTCCGGACAAGGAGATATTGAAGATTCGTGAAAGAGAGCTTTGATTACAGAGCAGGAATGATGACGATTAACTTGGACTTGAAAAGAGGAGGCAATGGAAGGTTTTTGAAAACGGCGTGAAGCCACTCAAGTGGGATAAACCTCCGGTTTACAATATACATCTTTTTGACATTTTTCACATAAACTAAACGAGATTAAGTGTTTTGAAAAATGTAATGAATGGTAATGTATTAACAATTTGTTCGGTGAATGATTATAGCTTGAAATTATTGTTCTGAGCTAGTTGAAATGTAAAGTTTCGTTTGTTTTTTTTTTTTTTTTCATTCCAATTCGTAACAATATGAGATATGAAAGATACAGAACAAACCATTTCTTATCGTCAACAAAAGATTAATCTTTAAATTAGATTGGTTCCATCATGCTAACTAGACTGCATTCTAATGATCAGTCTTTCCAAAAGACTTAAAGCAAAGGATTAGAGTAACGTTTTCGAGAAAACTTGACCTGGATCTTGCACTTTGACGAACCTCTGGGAAGCATTAGCAGATCCGCCATGACTTGCAGCTTTTTGTCACCTGCGACCTGAGCATGAACTTCCACGAGCTCAAGACATGACATTTTCTCCACGAAATGCTTTACTTGCTCCAGCTCTTCGATAGAACCATTATACTCTTTTATCTTTAGGACCTCCACAGGACAAGACAGTAAGAAAGAATACTCTGACACGCACTGGCAAATCCATCCATCTTCTCTTTCTCCATAGTGCAAAGAATCCTGAAACAAATTAGAAAGATTTAAGATTCAAGATCTACGAGTACTTACAGGGTTCACGATATTTTGTTTGTTCAATGAACTTTTTTATATATTTGGGTCCTACCTTGATGATAAGAGTCTTTAGATTTGGAAATTTCTTTAACACAGTTGATACAGAAAACCAACAGAAGTTAGAAAGGCCAAGAGATAGCCGAACCAGCTTTTCAAACACTGGGACTGCTTCATGGAAGACATAAAACATCTGAAACACAAGAAAAATCAGCTAATTTAGCAAGATTTTGATTCTGATTCTTAAACAAATTCTATGGTTCCTAAACAATAAACTTGTCTTAATGATTCTTTAAAAAAAATTATCAAGTTGTAGTAATACATGAAAGAAGAAAAAGAAAACAATAGAGCACACTTACCTCCACAGCTTCAATAGTTAAGTCCAAGATCTCAACATTTTTAAACCCAGTAATCAGATTCATAGGATCGAAATTATCTGCATGTTCCTCTCTCCATACATCCTCTTGGTCCACACAAAGAAAGAGTTTAGCTTCAACAAGGGAGTTGAGATCAACAATTGGATACTTCTTAGGAACATAATCAGAGTACTCCAAGTAGGTTAGACCCGGAGTAACCAAACTAACGCTGTCAAAATCATAGGCAAGACAACGAGAATCCAGTTTAACGTAAGGTGCATCATAAGAATACCACTCTCTACGTCGTATAGTGAGTCTCTGAAGGGTAGGACTGGACACGGTGCAAGACCATTTCCAACGTTCCAACTCGATACCATCCATGACTAATTCCTCAAGCACAGGGGACGCGGAGAGAAGCGTTTTGAACGCGCAACGACCACCAGAATCGTGGAACTGAACAGAATCAAGAAAGAGCGTCTTGAGAGCCGGAAGAGAAGCATCCGCAGGGAGAAAATCGACCACGAAACCAGACCCTAGTTTCATCTCAGAAACTGTCTTGCAAGTGAAAACATCAAAAGGCAGTGAGTAATATCCTTCTCTAAGGACACTTATCTGGAGTTCAAGAACCAAAACACCACGCTTCAGAACATGGCAGAGACAACGGTTGATCTGTTCATCTTGTTGAGCAGCCACATGGTTCCATTTTATAGAGAATGTCCTTACACGGCAACTGACTGGTAGAGCCAACACTCGATCAACGAAATCCTTGAATTTCTCTCTATCATCATCATCATCATCATCATCATCATCGAAATGAAGCTTTGGTATGATGGTAAACTCATTTCGCCACTGGCTCGAGAGAACCGTAGCGAAAGCAGCCTCCTTTGCAGAAAGGAAAGACCCAATGTGGCAAATAATCTCATCTGGTAGACTACTGATTCTATCCATAAACAATTTCTCAAATCCAAAGACAACCCTTTTTCACTATTATCTTAAAAAATCAGTTTCAGAGAGTAGACTCCAACACCGATCGAAAATTGAAGCGAATCCTTGAACATGCAAACTAAAGCGAACTTACAGAAATGCACTGAAATTGAAGACGAAGAATAATCGGATCAACTCTTCAATAGTACCATGGATTTTCGATACCTTAGTGAATCAAAAATTCCATCTTTACGGGAGGAACTTGAGCAGAGTTGGAAATCTTCAAATTACTGAAATGTCCGAAATTACATACAGTATATGTTGGGGGATATAAAAAAAAAAAAAAAAAACAGGTTAAGCTTCAAAAGTAGAGTAAAAAAGAGAAAACGCCGTTGCCGGGGATCGAACCCGGGTCACCCGCGTGACAGGCGGGAATACTTACCACTATACTACAACGACTTTGTTGTTTATAGTGACAGAAATATAAATTTAATTAATAATTTTGAAACCCAAATTCTCCATCTCTTTTCCATCATTGAGACATTGACCCCTACTTTTTGTCTGTATCTCCAAAGCTCCCAAGATTTCTTGCTTTTTATTCCTCAATTCATAGATTTCAATTTCCAACTCTCTTTTGTTGGATTTGCGTTTATCTATCCATTTTTCTGGAGCAACTATGAGATGCTAAATCTTCCTTTCCCTGATAATTAACTCTCCAATCAACAAGGAATGAAGTTACTATTATAACCAACCATTCAAGATTCTCAAAGTAATTAGGAAAAAAAAAAGTCGTGCAAGATCAAGACCAAATTTTTATAAACATTTCGTTTAAGGAAAACCAGAACAGAAGCAGATTAGATTTGTACATCAGACAATTAACAAACACAAACTCTACAGAAGAAGAAACTACAAAGATTATACATTTTTTTTCCCTTTCTGTGCCCAAAGACCAATTTTTTTTTTATATCTCATCGTAGCAAAGCGACGCCATTAAATCTTTTGGAGATCCCCAAACAGGAAGATTAAAAAACTTCTCTTTCTCTTCTTCTTCCTCTGTTCTGCACATTCCTTCTGCAATTTCGCATAAGTTTGACACATTCTGGATCATACTTTCCCTTGCTTCTTCCTGTTTCATCACCAGAAAAAATCAAAACGAAACAACAACAACCAGTAATTTCGAACAAAATTCGATATTTATTAGTTAGTTTACCATTGAAAGAAGCTCGTCGATAAAAGACGCGTCTTCTCCGATCTGCTCTCGAGTTTCAATTGAAGAAGAAGTTTCCGGAAGCGACGATTGAAACTGATTTGATTTTTCTTGCAATGCGCACAAGTTGTTCGACAAAATCTCCCAACGATCGATTTCTCTCTGGTACTTTCTCTTGAGCTTCACTAGTGTCTCTCTCTTACGCTTCCTTCGATTTCTCTCCTCCTCCGCAGGATCCACCTCCAGATCCGGCGGATTAGATGTTTCACCGGCGGCAGTTTCCTCGCCGACGCATTTCATTCGATTGTAAATAAACCCATCTTCGTTGCAAAGCTCCCACTCTTCGTAACTCGCCGATGCTTGTTGGTCCATATCCTCAGGGTTAAGATTTTCGTCGGTGGCAGTGGTGTTTTCACTTTCCAATTCAAGAGATAACCCTAGATAGTATATTACCCGCTCCTTTGCTTTTCCCTCTCTTTTTTTTTCCTTCTAAATTTGAAATGAAAATTTTCCTCACATAAACTAACTAATGCTGACCTACGCCATAATATCAAAAAGATAATGAAATTTCTTTTTTATTAATTTTTTTTTTAGTCAAGGTGCAATTTCTCTGTTTTTAAGTTTAGATTTTAGAAAGACGAAAATTTTGAGAAGAAGATTATATATTATTATATTATTGTGACCACAGAATAGATAAAAAAAAACATACAAAAATCTAACTCGATTCACCCTGAGATGAAATTTTGGTTGAGATCAATATTAGATGCATAAAAAGAAGAAAAAAACCAAGAAGAAAGAAAAGAACAAGAAGAAGTTTTGGTTGAAAATTGAAATCATAGTATCTCTAATCGTACTCCAAATTTCACTTTAAAATAAAGTTTTAAGCAAAATTCTTTTATTTTATTATATATTTTATTTCATGATAAAATAAAAAATAGAGTTACATCAAATATAGAGCAAAAAATAGAATTTTTTTTAATCATAACTTTATTCCAAAAAAAAATAGAATAGTAGGGTAAAACACAATTCTAATTTGAAATCATTCTAAAATGGAAGGAAAAATAATCTTCAAGTTTAATGAGTGTTTTCATAAACTAATTCTTGGACGAATTTAGTGTTTTTCCTTTCTTTCTATACAAAATTTGTGATGAATTGAGATTTGGATTTCAGTTTTTCAGGGGAGGTGTTTATTTTTGATAAAGTATCAACAGTAGAAGTTTTGGATCGTGAAGTAATTAGCTAAGGAAAATTTTTGGGTTCACTCCTAGGGGTGAATTCATTCATTCACCCCCTCTCATTGTAGCCAATGAGAATCTGCCATGTAATATTATTTTAAAATAAAAATACAAAATTAAAATTATAAAATTAAATACTCAATCAAATATTTTATAAATATATAAATAATGTATATAAAGATTAGAATTTATGGTTTAGTTTTCATTTTGATTTTTTTAAAGGTTTATAAATTATGATTTAGAGTATAAAGATTATAATTTAGGATTTAAAAATTATAATTTAGGGATTAAGGTTTAAAATTCTGAAAATAAAACAAATAATTATGTAAATATATATATATATATGTATTAAAAATAAATATAAATAAAATTTAATATTATGTTTGGGTTCACTATTTCCAATTTAGGGTTTAGTTTTTTTTATTTAAAATTTTGAAAATAAAATAAATAATTATGTAAAAATAAATTTTTACTAAAAATAATTCTATATAAACTTTAATATTATGATTCACTATTTTCAAATTAGAGTTTAATTTTTTCCATTAACAAAAATAATAATTTAATATTATGTTTGGGTTTACTATTTCCAATTTAGGGTTTAGTTTTTTCATTTAAAATTTCGAAAATAAAACGAATAATTATGTAAAATATATTTTATTAGAAAATAATTCTACATAAACTTTAATATTATGTTTGGATTAACTATTTCCAAATTAGGGTTTAGTTTTTTTTATTAAAAAATATTTAAAATATGCTATTTTGGTAAGTTTACCATAATTGATTTTATTATATGGCAGATTCTCATTGGTTAAAATAAGAAGAGGTCAATCAGAATGAATGAATTCACCGCTAGGGATGAACTCAAGAATTGTTCATTAGCTAAACTAACCTAAATTATACAAAACATTTCAACGATTAATACGAATTAGAAATTGCTTATTATGAAATTAAAATTAAAATTCAATTAATTATGAATAAAAATGGACCCCTCTGTAGTTAGAGTGGATCCACATTTCTCGTTCACTTTAAATTCGAATATGACGTATCAAATTCGGTAATGGCATTCTGGCATGTCAAGTTAGAATATTGGTCTCTCTCTCGCTGACTTTCTTTTGCAAACCAGTAAGACTAGTCTGGCTTTCTTTTTTACTCTCTCTCTCTCGCTGACTTTCTTTTGACTTCACCTCATCCACATAATTTTGGGCTTGTTTGATAGAAGCTTTTATTGTTTATAATTGTTGATTTTAATTTTTTTTGGCGGTAAAAACTGTTTATTATATTTAAAATGATTAGTAATTTTTTTTCCAGAAATTAGTTTACAAAGAATTGTAGATATTTCTGAAAATAATATAGTAAAACAAAGTTATATAAAATGGATCTAAACAAAAAAAAAGAGATTATAATAAATCAATTAAATTTTGTTATTAATAAATTATATATAAATTTATAAATAGATTTGAATAATCTTGGACGAAGAAAAGAGAAAGAGAAAAAAAAAATATATATATATATATATTTTTTTTCACTTTTATTTTGTAAAAACTTCTCTTATGTAGCTTTTGGAAACTATGAAAAAATAAAATATAAAGTGTGACTTTTGAGATATTTGATTTAATAAAATTATAAAAACATGTTTGGTAAAAAAAGAGCTTTGAAGGCTGTTAAATGCCTTAAAAGTCTTAAGTCAAACCATAAGCAAGCCTTTTATGAGGGAAGAACAGAGAGCCCTGCATATACTGCATATACTGTATTTAAATTGTATGGAATCGTCGCGACAACTATATTTTGGCGGGTAACATTCTTCGAAATTCATTTAAAAAAATATTAAATGTACGCGGATATCACTCGTTTAGCTTCAATTATAAGGTATCTGTTTCCCCATTCTCTATCCCTCACCCTAAAACCATCGTTCTTCAACCTCTCTTTTTCTCTATCTCTCACTGATCATGTCTTCTTCTTCTTCATGGAGATACGATGTATTTCCGAGCTTCCGAGGCTCAGATGTTCGTAGAGGGTTTCTCAGTCATTTACATAATGACTTTGCATTGATGGGAATCAAAACGTTCAACGATCAGAAGATGGAGAGAGGCCATTCGCTAGAACGTTCACTCGACCTAGCGATTAGAGAATCGAGGGTCTTGATGGTTTTGCTCTCCAAGAACTACGCTTCTTCTCTCTGGTGTTTAAATGAGTTGGTTGAAATCTTGGAATGCAGAAAAAACATGGTGCAGTGTGTACTACCGGTTTTTTACCATGTTGATCCGTCCGATGTACGGAGCCAGAGCGGTGATTTCGGAAACGGTTTCAAGAAATCTTGCCAAGGGAAAAACGAGGAAGAGAAGCAGATATGGAGCAAAGCTTTGACCAAAGTCGCAAACATAGCCGGGCTACACTGTGTAAATTCGTATGATGACTCAGAAATGATCAAAAAGATTGCTACATACGTTCATGAAGTATTGGCAAATGAAACAGTAAGTTCTTATAATAGCTGGTCGTTTTCTGTAAGTAAGCGAACCTTTAAAGGAATGCGTATGGTAGACCAAAGAATGGTGAAGGAGAAGGTCATTGTGCTGAGCTGGCGAACTGAAGAGGAAAAGATTGCTTTTGTTATGGATGATGAAGCAGAGATGATCCAAAAGATTGCTACTGTTAGGGATTATAACGAGATTTGTGACATATTGGCAAATGAAACAGTAAGTTCTTACAAAAAGGGTAGATTTTCTGTAAGTAAGCGAACCTTTAGAGGAATGCGTATGATAGACCAACGAATAGTGATCAAGGAGAAGGTCATTGTGCTGGCATTAAAGTCGGTTAAACACGCATAAACATTGTAATAGGAAGTCTGTGAATAGAGGATAGTGGAGTTGGTACTGAGTTTTTGAAGACCGCAAGTTAGATAAAAAAAAAGTCGCCCATTTGTACATTTTTATTTTAAAAAAAAAATCTTTAAAATTTAACCTCTCTTTTCTTTTTCTTTTTGAAGGCATCCTTCTGCAAGTAAACATTTTTAAAGATTGATCACTATGCTAAGTGTTAAGAAATGGTAAGAACTTCTCTGTTCTAACTTTGCAGAAATCTCTCATTATCTCTCTCGTTTGATTCTCGTGTATTTAAGAGCATAAAAGTAAATGGCACCCAAGATTTATCCAGTTCACACAGCTGCCTCTCTCTATGCTCTTTCTCTCCTAACCCTTATGTCTCAGCTTAGCTCTCCTTTTATACACCTCATAATCACTGCCACACTGACACTCTCTTCTCTCTCTGTTCGTACTCTGTTTTTTTTTTTTTTTTAATCAGAGAAGTAATCAGTTAATTACTACTCCTCATGCGTGTATAGACAGCACGTGAGCTCCTCGTGCCTGTTAGTATATACCAGTATATTCCTGAGATATTCCTTGTAAAAATATTATACGATCTTATCTGTCTAAAATCACATAGAGATCTTCTCCTTTGTATCGTGTATATAAGCCTTTGGCATGACATCAATAACAATAATCAGCTCACAATACTTACATGGTATCAGAACACACATCAATCTAAGAAGAAAAACAAAAATTTACTTTCTTTTTCAGCTTCTTCTTCGTCATTTCTTGTGCATCAATGGCAGCCAATTCCTCTTCTTCTGAAATCACAGTGTACAATGGTGCTGATCCGAAAACACCCTTGATCACTGTCAACATGACAGGCATCACGAAGCTTTCCTCCGCAAATTACCTAACCTGGAAGTTACAGGTTTACGCACTCTTCGAGGCCCACGAACTTCATGTCTTCGTCGACTACACGAAAGTCCCAACAGCAATTGTCTCCGCTGGTGATACGACCAGCCCAAATCCCTTGTACGTGACATGGAAACGCCAAGACAGAATGCTGTTCAGTGCTCTCCTCGGCACTCTCACGATGACGATCCAACCTGTTGTTGCTCGAGCCACAATGACACGCGAAATCTGGGAGATTCTCGCAAACACTTACGGGAAATCATCTCGTGGCCATGTGAAACAGCTCCAACAACAGCTGAAACACATCACCAAAGGCAATCAATCTGTCGCTGACTACATGAGAAGAAGTGGATGAGTACAGAGTCATTGTGGAAATGGTGAATGGCCGTGATACACCGATCACACTTGACGAACTCCATGAGAAACTGCTTAACCGAGAGAATGCTCTCTCTCTCCGACAACGTGAAAGAGTCGTCCATGCCGGTGACTGCGAATGCTGCACAGTACTCACATCAACCAACTCAGCGCTCGAATTACCGAGGATCCCCTGCTTCTCGTGGTGCTCCAGCATTTCGTGGCGTCTACCGAAACTCCAAGCCGTATATTGGCAAATGTCAGATCTGTGGCACACAAGGGCATAGTGCACCACCGTCACCATCATACCAACATGGCACCACTCCTCCTCCGTGGAACACTGCATCACTGCCAACTCCACCTCCTCAGTGGACACCACAGGCTCATTACACCACTTCATCACCATCTGAGGCGGCATGGCTCCTTGACAGCGGTGCATCGCATCATATTACAACTAATCTCAGCAATCTCTCGCTTCACGCACCTTACCAAAGCGGAGATGATGTTGTGATTGGGAATAGCACGGGTTTGAACATTACTCACACTGGTTCATCTCTTTTACCTGCCAAATCACGTTCCCTTTCACTTACAGATGTTCTTTGTGTTCCACAAATGAAGAAAAATCTGATTTCGGTTAATAAGCTATGCAAAACTAATAACGTGATGGTGCAATTGTGTCCTTTCACATTTCAGGTGAGGGATCTCAGAACGGGGGCAACACTTCTCAGTGGCAAGGCCAATGATGGAGTGTATTAGTGGCCGACGACACCTTTCTCTTCTATTTCCGCTTTTCCGTGCACCAAGTCATCACTTTTGACTTGGCATTCAAGATTAGGACATCCATCTCCTCCAATCCTTCGTCATATTATTTCCTCTTTTTCACTTCCCTTTTCTTCATTGTCATCTACTTTATTTTGCAACTCGTGTTCGATCAATAAAAGTCACAAGCTTCCATTTTTCAACACGTCCATCTGTTCCTCTGCACCCTTTGAGATTATATTTTCTGATGTCTGGACTGCACCTATTTACTCATTTGATGGTTTTAAATACCATGTCATCTTTGTGGATCACTTTACTCGATATATTTGGTGTTATCCACTAAAACTCAAGTCTCAAGTTGCGTAGATATTTCCTCGCTTTAAGGCACTTGTGGAAAATCGGTTCAACACAAAAATCAAGACACTTTACTCGGATAATGGTGGTGAGTATCTCAGCCTCAGATCATTCCTCTCTACTCATGGAATCACGCACTATACCACTCCCCCTCATACTCCGGGGCACAACGGAATTGCTGAGCGAAGACACAGGCATATTGTGGAGACTGGAATGGCTCTCCTCACTCATGTGAAGCTTCCGATAACGTATTGGACCTTTGCGTTTGCGACGGCGGTGTATCTGATCAACAGAATGCCCACTCCTACTTTGGCGAAAGTTTCCCCATTTCAAATGTTGTTCAAGGTGGGGCTAAACTATACAAAGCTTCGCACGTTCAGGTGTCTGTGTTATCCGTGGCTTCGACCGTATGGCCAAAATAAATTCAGTCCAAAATCAACTCCATGCATCTTTTTGGTTACTCTCTAACTCAAAGTGCCTTTCTGTGTCTAGATGTTTCAAAAAAATCGCATTTATACTTCACGTCATGTTTTATTTCATGAGACTATTTTTCCTTTCTTATCACTTACCAAAAATGGGCCTCCTTGTGAATCCTTATCTCAGTCTTCCTCAGCTTATCCCTTAGCCTCCATTGCACCGATCTATTGTCTGCCACTCATTCATGACACGCCCCTGAGCTCGGATCCCTCACAACTCGAGTCGCCTGATCCAGTCACCGAGACGATGGATTCCTTGCCTTCACAAGTTCCTGTCTCACCCCAACCAAACCAGACCAATACTCACTCGATGGTGACGAGAGGAAAGAATCAGATTCGGAAACCAAATCCGAAATATGGTCTGATGGCGCAGATTACTGAGCTCGAGCCACGTTCTGTGGCTGAGGCTCTCAAAGACAAAAGATGGCGGGGAGCAATGGGAACTGAGATGAACTCTCAAATCAAACTTGGCACATGGGATCTTGTTCCACATGAAATGGCACATAATATTGTTGGTTGCAAATGGGTTTTCACCATTAAACGTTTACCTGATGGTTCAATTGACAGGTTTAAAGCTCGGTTGGTGGCCAAAGGTTTTCATCAACAACCTGGTGTCGACTTTCATGAAACTTTTAGTCCGGTGATCAAACATGCAACAGTTCGATTGGTGCTTGGAGTGGCGGTGACTCGAGACTGGTCATTACGACAATTGGATGTTAATACAGCTTTTCTACAAGGCAATCTCATGGAGGAAGTGTATATGGTCCAGCCTCCGAGATTTGTCGACAAAGATAAACCCAACCATGTCTGCCGCCTTAAGAAGGCTATTTATGGGCTCAAATAAGCACCACGAGCCTGGTACAATGACCTCAGGGTTTTTCTTCTCAGTGTTGGCTTCAAGACCTCATTTTCTGATACTTCCCTCTTTATCTTGAGATCGGGTACTCACTTCGTCTACATGCTCATTTATGTGGATGATATTGTGATTACAGGGAGCTCGCCTAAGCTCGTGGATGATGTGATCTCCACACTAGCTGAGAGATTTTCTCTCAAAGATCTTGGAAATCTCTCTTATTTTTTGGGTTTGGAAGCACATCGTACATCTGCAGGTCTTCGTCTCACTCAACAGAGATACATTACAGATCTCCTTATCCGAACAAAGATGGAGCATGCGAAACCGGTTGCTACTCCGATGTGCTCCAGTCAACAACTCACCGCAACTCTTGGTGCTCCCATGGATGATCCGAGCATTTATCGCGCCACCGTTGGCAGCTTACATTACTTGGGGTTGACAAGATCAGACATTTCTTTTGCTGTGAATCGTTTATCGCAGTATATGCACCAGCCAACGGTTGTTCATTGGGAAGCTGTTAAGAGAGTATTAAGATATCTAGCAGGCACCGCCACTTTTGGTATTTTCTTCTCCGCATCATCACCAATGACCCTTCACGCGTACTCTGATGCTGACTGGGCCGGTTATAGAGATGACTACACATCTACAGGTGCCTACATTGTCTATCTTGGAAAGCAGCCTATCTCGTGGTCTTCCCGCAAGCAGAAGAGCGTGTCTCGATCATCTACAGAAGCGGAGTATCGCTCTGTTGCTGATACGGCTGCTGAATTTGGTGGATTCTCTCTGTTACAAATGAACTCGGGTTGAAGTTTTCGGGTCCTCCGGTGATTTATTGTGATAATATTGGTGCCTCTCAGTTATGTGCTAATCCAGTATTTCACTCTCGGATGAAACACATTGCACTTGACTACCATTTCGTTCGTGAGCAGGTTCGAGATGGTCAACTTCGTGTCACTCATGTAAGCTCGGCGGACCAACTAGCCGATACGTTGACAAAGCCTCTTCCAAGAACAAGGTTTCAAAACTTAACAGCCAAGATTGGACTTACCACAAGACGTCCATCTTGAGGGGGCATGTTAGTATATACCAGTATATTCCTGAGATATTCCTTGTAAAGATATTATATGATCTTATCTGTCTAAGATCACATAGAGATTTTCTCCTTTGTATCGTGTATATAAGCCTTTGGCATGTCATCAATAACAATAATCAGCTCACAATACTTACAGTGCCTTCCTTCTTCAACATAAGGTGAGACTTTCTTTTTGGGTTAGAGACTTTTGACATTAAGAATAAAAAAAGTTATTTAACAT